AGCCCAGGAAAGCGCTTGACTAGCAACAAGTAATTAAAAAAACTTGAAAGGAAGGCACTGTTCAAAGTCACTGCTTTGAGACTTTTCCTGCCTTCCCTGCAGTGCACTGTCACTGAGTGATAATGTAACACAGTCAGRACAGAAGCACTGCTTATTAACACAGTGTCTTCTCTGAGAAGTTATTCCCATCAACAGCCAATGCCTTCCCCACGCCAGGCCCAGCATGTGGCATGTGTAGGCTCATAGCTTCAACAAGCAGCTACTTCAAAGACCCCCATTTACAGGCAGTTACCTCCAAGACTGCTAATTCTGCCTGGGGATGAGCCACAGGTTCTCGTTGCTAACAGAGATGAGAGAGCTAGGTTTTATTTTGGCTTTTTACCTCATTTTAGTAAGTACAGAAGATCAGCCAGGGCAYGTTGGGACAGCCAGATCTCAGTCTTGACCTCTACCACTTCTGCCACTGCTCCAAAGCTCGTCTGCTCCTGGATAATGACATCACTCATTGAGATCTCATTCTGCATCATAATATRTTTGTCCTCATGTTAGGAGAGGATGATTTTGATGTCCTTTGCTGATGGACACATGACATTTGTCCCATATGCCCCAGGATCTGGGGTCTACCTTGAGATTGCCCTCAGCGCCTACACCATGAGCACAGGGGGCTCTGCCACAATCCCCTCCTGCTGGCCCTTCCTCTAAGGCTTCTTCCTTGTTGTCTGGGGTAGGTCCAGAGCAAGGGAGGCCACAGTTGTGGTGAGTTCCTCAGAGTCCTTTCCCACCTTGTGGATGAGCACATGGTGTGCCTGGCACTGGGGAAGGGTGTAGACCGTGCCACAGAGCTCACATTTGCAGGGCTTGCCAGCCAGGTGGGATTTCTGGTGGCATCACAGCTTWGTGGCCAAGGTGTAGGACTTGCTGCACTGCTCACAGCTGGAAGTGTGCTTCCCCATGTGCAAGTGCATGTGGTTGCACAAGGAGCTGGGGTTGATCAGGTGACATCCACACTGCACCACTGAGACAAGCTGGGCCAGTCCCAGTGGCCAAGCAGATCTTCCTGTGCATGTGGAGAGAGAGCCTGTGTGCAAAGGCTGGCAGGACAAGGGCTGTTGGCTGCTGTGTAGGACACGGTGCTCCTGCAAATCTTATTTGGGGCAGCAAACCTTGTCACACTGGGTGCACTGGAATGGCCCCATGGGCCAACRTGTGGGTCTTGAAGCTCCGCACTGAACTATAGTTTTTGCCACACTCTGTGTGCAGGAAGGGTTTGTGGCCAGGATGGAGAAGGTGGGGCTTCTTGGAGTGGCAGAGTTATATCATACTCCCTGGAGCACCACCTGTGCTTGATCATCTCCTTTTGGGACAGAGCTTATAGTGGGGGGCCTTGGCTGCCAGAACACTCCWCCACCAGATCTGTACACTCCTCCTGCCCTTTAGGCCCCTCCAGTGAGCCCTTTCCCCCATGCTCTGGGGATGCCAGTCTRAAGTTTTGGGAAGCTTTGCTCTACTTTTCACAAATCTCTACAGACTCTCTTTCTGAAGGACTGGGCTTCTGGGCTTCCTGCCCAGTTGTCCAGCTACCACAGCCCTGCAGGCACTTCTGGAGTGGACTGGCCAGAGAATGTACCTTGCATGATTTGCCAACCAAGGAAGCTCTGAATCAAACTCTACTTGAGGGAGAAAACAGATCCAGGTCACCAGGGCTTCCTGCCTTCTGTTCCATTTCCACTTTTTCTGCTACACATCTGGGATCYACACCCTTATCCAATTCTTCTGTGCACCTACCATTTGTATTAATGGTTAAGATAGGCTTGACGTGCTGATTCTACCAGCAACATGCCATGGCTCATGTTTGGAAGCTGCAATTTCTCTTCTTGCAGTCTGTGGAAAYGTTTGGTGGACAGCCGGCTAAGAGAGGCTCTGAGGACTGTGGCTTCATCCACCACCCTGGAGAGACATCTGGGTCCCCTGCACAAACACAAAGGCATGGTGGGTGAATTAACGCTGGCTGTTATGTGACATGATTGCTGCTGGATAAGAGGGAGATGAACGTTGAAGACGAATATTCTGCTATGCAGTAGTCCTGGGGGTCTGCCATGAGAACCATTACTTTATGATCTTTTTTCCTGTTCATCTGGGGAAGAGGGACGAATCTCTGATATCTCACCACAGACAGTACCCGTGCAGCATTCCTAATATTTCACGAAAAATATTTCTACGAGGTATCGTCATGACTGGCACAGAACAGGGCGACACGCTCTTTTCTCGGCTGGTAGCTCCAAAAAGCGTCACAAGGTCCCAGCTGCCGGCCCGCAGGGGCTGCAGGTCCCACACACGCCGGGGACCGCTGAAGGCGCAGCTCGGAGGCCCGGGAAGGCCGCACGGCTCATCCCMCCCACTCTGGGCCGCCGCGGCACCCACTACGAGGGGCTCGGCCTGCCGGGGTGGCCCCGGCCCCCTGCACCTCCGCAGTCGCTCCGTCAGCCCCCGGCTCTCCGTGGCGGCGGAACGCTGCGAGGGAGCGCCGGACGCGCCCGGACGGCGGCGGCAGCGGGCGGGGCCGGGGCGGGGCGGGCTCCCCGGCGGCGAGGCCGCGCTTCCGGCGGGCGGCGGTGACAGGCGGGTGGCGGCGGCGGCAGGTACCGGCACTGGCGGGGCGGTGTGGGGTGCCCGGGGAGCGCGGGCGGGCTCTGCGAGCAGCAGCGGGGCCCGGCGGCCTGTGCTGGTGCGGCTGGGAGAGCGGGACAGCGGCCCGGCGGCGGGGCTGGAGCTGGGGCTGGGGCTGAGCTGAGCGGGCCGGGGCTGGGCCCGGAGCCCCGAGCGCTCCGCCCGGGTGTTGCCGGGCTCGCCCCTGGTGCGGGAGCGCTCTGTTCGCTCCGGTGAGCGCTGGCGGGAGGAGCGCGGCCGGTAARGGGCTGCGGGCACCGGGGCGGGGAGAGCCGGGGCCGGCAGTCCGAGGGGTCCCGGTCACCATGCCCGGTGCCGGCGGGTCAGGTACCGCCGGGCTGTGCTGCTGCCTGATCCCGACCGCGGCTGCCGCGGCGGCGCTGGCTGCCATTAATGCCGGTGCCCAGCAGCAGGGTCTGGTATTTGTGCTGCCTTCAGGCGGGTTCTAGGAGAGCTTTGTTTAAACAGTGTAAATAGCAAATCTGTGAGTCTCGCAATCTTGAGGTTAGCTCAGGGGTCTCCCAGGAGCTCAGTGGAAGGGAATGGGAGAGAATAGATGTGTGGTAGAGAGGGCGATGATGATGAGGAGGAGGGGTGCAGTCCGTGCAGGGTTGTGTGTGTTCCCCACTGCCTCTCATGTGACTCCTGGGCGAGTCCTGCACGGCGCTGAGAGCAACTTCTGTACTTTGGGCAGCAGTTCCGGGAGGGCACTTGGAGAGTTCTGCGATTTTGCTCTCATATATCCTGCAGAGAACCAGTAAGGGGAGGCTGAGTGCTCGCTAGGGTGGATTTCCAGCGAGCACGGAGGTGGCCTTCAGCAAATGGATGGAGATGACTGGGGAAGGAAAGCTGCTCAATTAAAAAGCTGTYGGAATAATGAAGGACCAAAGAGCTTCCCTGAGCAAGAGTGTGTCTGTCCTGAGTTAACTGGTCRTGGTGTGCCAGACGAAGCTGATCTGGCCCTTGACCTCGAGGYTCTTTCAGGGTAGTGCCAGGGTAATGATGCTCTCAGTGGTATCACAGTTTTGATGTGAGGGAAGATACGGGGTGGGCTTTGAGGATGAGTCTTGGTTCTGGAGCTTAGTCATGCCCACGAGTACTCTGAAAGTCTGCTGCTGAGTAACTACCCCCTTTTCTTGCAATGTGCTTGTTTTTAACACTATAGCAAAGTGCAGGGACTTGATTGATGTGTACAGAAGAAGAGACATTTGTGCAAATAAACCAAAACTGGGAGGAGATGTGGATGGCAGCAGAGTCAGAAAAATAATCCTATAACTGGGACTGCATGCATCTGACATTGCTTGTTCATCTGGCACTGAAGAAGAGGCCACTTCACTTTTGTAATTCTTTAGTGTGTGTACAGTTCCAGGGTGTGGTAATATATGCATGGACATATTTTGAATTGTAATTTACTTCTGAACTAATAATACATCTGGAAGAAAAACAGGAAAAGGAAACTACCAAGCAGATGAAGCTTAGAAATAAGTGGTAGAAAAACAGTGAAACTGAAATTGGAGAAAAAAATTAGTTTGCGTGAACATCAACTACCAAGATTTTCTAGATATAGGTGATTGGTCTTCCCTGAGGAAATTCTGGATCTTGTGTAAGGAATCTCCAGCTCAGAATTTGTCTGAAAATTGTATTGTAACACGTTGAGTTCTCTCCTTTAGCAGAATGTGCTGTTCTCCATCATGTCTCTCTTATCTAAGGAAGTTAATTTTTATTAGATGGGAGCAAGCATTCAGGTGCCGTGTAGTTGCCAAAAACATACTTAAATGCTTGGAAAAAAGGAATCAGTTGCTCTTTAGAGCCTGGCAGTGAGTAAATGYTTCTACTGCCATGTGTGATTCTTTAGTTTTTTAATGTTTGGCTAGAATTTTTACTTTTTAAATCTAGGTATGTAATTTTTCTTATTATTTGCTATRTGGATGTACCACTTGCATCTTACCATGACATTTATGTAAAACAGGTGCAGTTTTTAAACAGAATTAAATCTGTTGAAATGGTCTTTTATTGTTGAAAAACATGAAATATTTTGAACAAACATGTCACTAATTTTAACAACCATTTATATCACCATGATACATATGGACTTTCTATTTAATGACAGATCCTTCTTATGGATCATTTTTGAGTACAGGAGGAAGCATCTCCTGCAGCTGTACTCTCAGTGTATCCTCATATGAAGATCCTCAATTTGTTTATTGCATCCTAACTCCAGTTCTCTCCTTCTCAGAACCTGCTAATTCCCAACCATTTAGAGGATTATATGTCCTAAACTACTGTATGGTTATTTGATGTGAGACCCCGTGCTTTTGCCTTTTGCATATTGGAAAAGGGCTCAAGAAAATTCTGCAAACCTTTTGGGGCTCTCTGGGTGCTACAGTCTGCTTCACAAGAAGGACCTGAAACCTAAGAGGTCTTCTTTGGATCCTCCTTCCATTAACACCATGAAGCACTAATCTAGAGCCAAGGAATGGAGCTGGCTGTGAGTGAAGGTATCGGGACAGCCTTGTCTGTTTTTTCGAGGGGTAAGGCAAGAGCACTATGCACTGGGCTCTTTTACCAGTGTGGATCCTACTAACAGCTTCCCTCTTCCACATGGTGCCACACTAAGATTAATTTCATGCCACAGGGGAAATTCCTCAGTGCTATSTAATAACTGGCTCTTCTGTCTCTGCACGAGTACTTCAGGTTGACTGTGAAGCCAAGTGGTGATCCGTGTAGGGACAAGTGGGGACACTTGGTGACTTGCYGGCCCTATGGCGGTACTATCGCTGCTCTGGGGGAGGACTTGGCTTTGGGGAAATGGTTGCTRCTGAGCATCCCCAGGAATCCCACATGAAAGGCATCTCAGTGGATGCAGCAGTTGAACATCGGTCCTCTGTCCCCACCAGGGCTGGCAAGTCCCTGATAGCTGTGAATGCTGAGAGGCTGCACTGGGGAGCCATGGATGCTTCCTGAGCATGGAGTACTGACTTTTGGGCTRCTGAGCTCCTGTGGGAAATGCTTGAAGCTCGCTGAGTCATAGGAATCAGTGCCTGCTGTTACCATAGAAATCAGATCAGCTGCTAGGGGTGGGGAGTCCTTGTCCCTTGGCTCCCCTGCTGCGTGGCTCCAGCATGAGCTCATGGTTCCAGGGAACATGATTTCTTGCTCTTTGCCCTGTCAAGATCAGAGGAGGTCAGGCAGTTCTGTAGCTCTCGCCAGAGGACAGGGAACAATTTTGCTTGGGTCTTTGCATGGCTGCAGTGRTGGGTCCCTGTGTGTCTGATGTGCTTTCTTGGTGATCTACTGCCTGTATATGTCATGCTCTTTCATATTTTGGGAAGCATTTGATTAGCAGTAGCTTCCTGTCCTTTGGGAGCCCCAGAGAGGTGAAAACTGGTTGTAAACTGGTGAGTAGCAGATAAGGAAGGACAAGAAGTAAGTAATAGGCTTGGAATGGTCCAAAGGGAGAGGAAAAACACTGAATATCCRATTTCCTGCTCTCAAAATGCATCTCCAAGTTTGGTAACAAGTTTAGACCTGAGCAGAGATGTGACACCTTCCAGAGCATCTCACAGGTTTTGTCCTTTGTGCTCAGTCTCAGTAACTGTTTCATTGTTTTCTCTGGATGAATATACACATTCAGACTCTAGGGATGGAAGATGCAAAACATCATTGCTCTCTCTCCATTCTGCTGGAGGAAATAGCTTTACTGCAGTTATACTTCTCACACTAAGGTGTTGTGCTTCCTCAGATTGTCTGTGAACCTTTTGCTCTYCTCATAATGCAAAATAAGCGCAAGCATCTCTGTGAAACAGCGTTACAAAGACTCTTGCTGATGCAAGGTGTTACTTTTTTTTTCTACAGTTCTCTTGGCTTGCTGCCTGGTGGCCACTGAATTACTGTCCATGTGGTGTGTGTGAGCAATCCAGATCTATTTAGTTGTCCTTTTTAATGTTTCCTTGCTTACTTCCAGGACCCTGAATTCTGAGAATAACAGCYGTTTCCCAAGATTGTCTCCAAGAGTTAGTACTCTTAGGAGGCCCTGTATGCTGTGCTAGCTCAGTCCCAGCTTTAATGTATCTTCTGCTTCAGATGAAAGTGATAAACACTTGCAAACAACAGCAAATGCACTGAGCTGTCTATTTCTTGGACCCTCTTAATTCTTTGGTCTCCTCAGTATTATGGCATGCTTGTTGAAAAATACTCATTTAGGCAGTATGGCTTTCAGTGAAAGAGATGTTTTCTTGCTGCTTGCTGTTAATGTAGGCGAAAGGATTTACTGGGTGATGCTGAAAGGAGATGCGGGTTGTATGTGTGTTGTTCCCCCTGTCTTACTAGCTCAGCCTAAAAAATTCCTGTTTTAAGGAGCTGTTCAGTTCTCTGTTCAGATCCCAGTACACTGAAGCACCCACTTCAGTGCTGTTGAGAGCTCTGGTTCTCCATTATGGGGGGAAGGAGGTGGGGGGTGGTGATTCTTGGGAAAGCTTCCAGCACTGGGCCAACTGTGGAAACAGCTGGGCTTTGTGCCAGCCCTTCGGAGGGAGGGGGAGCTCAGAGCCTTACAGGGAATGTATCAGGCAGGGGCTGGTGCAGCCTGTCGCCTTCCACAGCGTCCTGGTGCTGCTTCTGTTTCAGGAGAGAAACTGTTCTGTCCAGAGCTGTGGTCAAGCAGAGACTTGCTGACAGGGTTGGTATAGCTCTTGATGGCTTTTGATAGCAATTGGCTGAAAGAATCTGACATATCATGCCCCTGGCTTGGAATAAGAGGAGTTCCTGCTTGTATTGAGGAGAAGAGGAAGCATAATCTCTGGATAAGTAAAGACAAAGGAGTATTGGGGGAAAATCAGTGAGAAGAGGAAGAGCCTCTGTGGGGAGGTAGATTTGTGATCCGTATGTCTCACCTAACAATCTCTGCAGTCCTTGTTCTAGACACTGCAAAATAAACTGCAGTATTTGGGGACCATGGCTACAGACCCATTGTCGGAGCTTCAGGATGATCCAAACTCAGTCARCCAGTCCCTCAGCCAGCTCAAACTGACCTCCATAGATGATAAGAACTGGCCAGCAGATGAAGTCTCTGCTTTTCCCAAATCAGGTAAGTATCCTGCTTATTTGGGATCTGGGTTTTGGCCAAAAAGCAGTTGTTTGTCCTACAGCATTGTGGTCATATTTACAGACAGCTACATTTACAGACAGTCCCAGCTCCATTTAAAAGCTTTATACTCACATTAAACTTGCACCACACCCAAGTGAATCAACATCAGTATTGAACAGCACTAAAAAGTGCAGAGCCAGCTCCTATAAATATGCTCTTCTCAGTCTTGTGCYTGGCTACATTTTGGTGCTGACAGTACAGACATGCTGTAAATCCTTGAGTGTCCTCCATTAAGGTCTCTTGCAGGAGAGTTTGGCCTTTGGAATAGTCTCAAACTTCCATCTGGGAGGTGGGGCTGGAGATCTGAGTTGTTGCTCTGAAATTCTGTGCTATGAACTGCTGTCCAAAGAGGTCAGGAAAATTAGYGCAAGGACATATAGTATGACCATTCATCCAGGAATGATGTTAAGATCCTTCTTTTCTAAAAAGCCATGATGGTGTCCTTGCATTTTTGTGAATATTTGTGACATATTTGTGGATATTTGTGATATATCTGAACAGTTGTTTGAGAGATTGTACATTCTGTGGGATATGTATGGACCTCATAGGACTGAGAATCTTCTGAAGTCATTGCTGCTCTTGTCCACTCAGAATTTCAAAAGTGGGTTTTTAAGGTGTACAGTTGCACACATTAGTCCCTGCCTTCCCACRCAGAAGTGCTGTTTTTTCTTATACCTCTATCTCTTTGTATTTGCCAATGTGCTCCAGATTCCTTCGTCTAATTGCTTGTTTCTTGTACTTTGTGCAGATGACTCCAAAGGCTCCCCTGAGCCTGTCTCTCACCTGCAGTGGGATGATCCCTACTATGATATTGCCAGGCATCACATTGTGGAAGTAGCAGGTAGGAGTCTTTCTGTTCCCTCCTTTGATGCCTTTGCAGCTGGGCTGAGGAAAGGCTTTTCTAATAGGGGATRTCTGGGGATATCTGCTGTTTGCCAGACCCAAGTGACAATGACAGGTGGCACTGTAAAGAGAAGGAGCACCAAACTTCTTGAATGTTTGTGATAAGTGTAATTTTCCATTGACTGCAGCTAAGCTTGGGTTCCTTTTTGGCTCTTGCTGTCTTGATTATATTGTTATCAGGACTCAGTTGCTTTTCTCCATTGTTTCAGATATGGCCCTTTACTACATCCTGAGAACAAAAATGCTTTTTGCATGATAATGCCACAGAAATTACCTAGTTAAGCAATACAGCTGTAAGGTCCTCAGCTTACTGAGTAATCCACAGTAGTATCTCTCTTATCTGAATGGGCAGAGCTTGCCATCCTGTTCAGAAATAACATGTACAGAAATCTGATACAGGGGGAATAGGCCCATGTTCCATTGCAAGGAAAGACCTGTTCATTTAGGGTCACAAGCATTTGGATTTTCTTCATGTTTTCCTGTCCATATTTTTTTATTTATGCTAACCCTTGGTGATTTACTGCTGGGAAYTCCRTAAGAAAGAGATTTGGGGTGTTTTTKGGATTGCCCTGGGACTRAGGGAAGGCTAAGGCCAGTTTGTCTTGTGTTCCTTGTTTAAAAAAAAATCCAAAAGCACTTCTTCAACCTGTTGTGACTGGATTCATACTTCTTGATCAACTATAGCCACCTCCTACCCCTCCTACTGGCACCTCCTACCCCTTCTATTGCCATCTCTCTGTATCTTGGTCCCTGCCCGATATGTGAAATTTTCAAGGAAGCTGAGGCACAAGCTGGAGTCATCCTGATTCAGTATTGTTCTGCAGCGGAATTTGACCACAAAAGAAAGAGTCTCRGGCACTTACTTTGGGTAAGAGTTGGCTTGACATTATTTTTTCCTGGGCAGTTTTCTCAAATGAGCTTTCTTTTTTTCTGATCTCATGTTTTGTCTTTTGTGGAGCTAAATTGTAATGGCAAACTCAAAACTTGGTTGTTTATTGTCTCCTTCAGTTTGACAGACCAGGTATTTGACATTTGGGCCATTATGTCTTATAGATTTGCCACAAGTGTTTTCATTTGCAAATGTATTACTAAGCTTCTTTTCCATGGGGCTGGAGTTTCAGGACTGGGGTTTATAGAGTCTCCTTRCTGCTGAAACTCTAAAGGGACGCATGTGTGGACACTACCATTTCAGTGGTAATAGCTAGAATATTTGGAATGTGAATGGTAGTTTGAGAACTCTGGGAAAGGCTGAGTTAAATGATAATTGTTCGCTTTAGACTAAGCTTCAGACAAAGTGCTTAGCAGAGTTTAGATCAGAGACATTGATAAGAGTGGAATGTCAGCCCAAACCAAGGATATACTTTGTTTGCTGCCTCTTGATATAAACACCACTCTTTCGGCAGGATTTCTGCTCCAAGGTAACATGATTTTTTCTTTCACAAGCTCTCTGAAAGGAGTATCACTCCAYTGGAGGTGTGTGTCAGCAGCTGTTGGAATGTTGCCATTTGACACGGTCTGGGGTAGCAAATGAAGAATTAGCCAGCTTCCTGAAGAGATTTCAGGCTGGGATGGTGGCTGACTGGGAGCCGTGCCTGCATTCTGAACGGGATCTCTCCCCTGTTGTGGTTTAAATTTGTATTCCTAGGGAGCTCTGTGTCCCTGTGGTGTCTCTGTATAGTGCAGAAACAGCTCAGAGAAGCTTCTGTTCTTGGCTCTTGCTGGCCAGTTTTCTCCGGTAGCTGATGTGTGTGAAAGCATGTGATGGTCCCACACACAGTGTGGTGCGATCCCTTTCTTGGCACTGGGAGAGCTTGGAGCACAGCTCCAGATAGATGATTTGCTGCCATACATTTGCTGGTTTCTCATCTCCTGAAAGGAAAATTTATGAAGTTGATCAAAGGGGTCTGAGTTGTAATTTGAGCTCTGGGGTGAATTGGTCAATAATTGATAGTTTTAACTGTTCAGAGAACCAAATAGGGTAGTGTTCTCTGGACTGTTGTTGGRGGCAAACAATCTGGGAAAGTCTGGAAAAATGGTATTAGAAGTAGCCTGGAGAATAAAATCTAACTGGAGGATTAATATGAAACTGTTTGGATCTGGCTCTGCTGACAAGTTGTGTTTGTCAGCACTTCCAYGTGCAGTGAACACTGGCTGAGCTGAGCCTGAAACAAAGTAACTTTACCCTAGTTCTCTTATAAATATTAGTAAATGGCAGCAGWTTAAGGGTAGTTTTATCCATTCTGTTGATTTATTAGTTTTCTGTCCCATGTCCTTTCCTTATCTACACTTCAGAGCAGAAAGCATAAGGCTGWCTCTGTTCCTGCCTGCCCTGAAATATATTCTGGAATGATGATGCTATTTTGAGACAAAAGCAGAAGGCTGGTTCCCATCCTTGGGCTGAACTCTATGATCCCCGGGTAATCCCGTGTGGTCAGAAAAGTAATTGCTTCTTACTGGGTGTGTTCATGGTGTTAATAACTAAATAAAAGCCCAGTTCTGATGACAAAAAGTTAGCACRCTCATTTTCTAGCTGACCTTAATTTCTGTTTCAGTTCAAGGCATGCAAGGATTTCAAAAATATGGCTATTTGACCTAAAGAGGGGAAAGTACRTAGAAACTCTTTGTAGATTTTGTTCTGAAAAAGTTTTTGGGGGTTGTTTTTCACTTTAAAATAGTGCAGCAGTTTCATGGAGACTCTGCTTTGTGTCTTGTGCTCCTGTCTCTTCTGGGRACTGGGATCTTGCTGGAAGAGGCTGTCCCTGGGAAAGGAGCATGCTGTCCCATGTGGTGGCRTGTTACACAGAGATGACAGCAGAAGGCATCCAGGCCACAGTCCTGAGGGAGTACTCAGAACTGGAGTATCATTTGGAATCATAATATTTTAGTTTAAGGAAACATCCTTTGGTTCTGGGACTCGATGCTCTTCTGAAGGAGGAAGATGGCGCTCTGCTGGTCCTTTCAGACCTGCTTCAAGGTGTGTRTTTATGGAGTGTTTTATGCAGGCTCTGGAGAGGTCTGTGTGTGGTTTTGTTCTTGACTCTGAGAGCTTCTTTTTGTGAGCACTGTAGCAGTAAAATTCATCTTTACACCTGGCCAGAAGTTGTAAGAAGAGGCTTGATTTCACTGCACAAACCTCTTCTGCAAAATGTGTTTTTTCCCTTGCTCACATCATATGGCATTCAGGAGAAACAGCTCCTGTTTGAGGGCTGTTAATGAACTATCCCCAGTCTGTTATGATGAGAGTTTCTGTGTTCTCRTGCCAGTGCTTACATGGCAAAGGTGCTGCTTCCATCTTCTTGGTGGTTGAGGCAGACTACATGTTGCATAGTCTTGGCCTTGAATTTTAGCACAGGCTGAATTGCAAAACTGAGGCAAGTAGTTAAGAATCTGAAGGAGGTCTCTGGAGATGGCAGTTCATACTGGAAACCTCTGGCTGTGTGGGAAGGCAAGGCTCTTGTCAGCTCTGGCAAGGTGTCCCTTCCTTGTTCTGCTGCCCAGTCTGAAATACAGGTCTCTTCTTTGTGGTCAATGTGCAAAACTATGGCTATGAGCTCCATCAGCATKCCCATTTTACACAATCACTGCTTTGCTTTCTTTTGGGATAAGAAAACATGGGCCTAACATATATTGGCATATGAATTTCTACTGCCATGGAGGGTAGAAGATAGTGTATCAGGTGTCAGGAAAATGACTGTCACTATATACTCCAGCTATGTAATTCCTGCCCAGTGATTTCAAAACTTTGTTGAAGCTCGGAGCATGTTTCTGCTAGTTTTTGTGGGAAATCTGCCTCATACCATTGTTTGTCAGTCTGCAGGGCTTCCCTCACAAAAAAACTGTGATACCAATATGTGTAAGACTTGTAACTGAAGTGGGAAAACAAGGTGGAGAGCTATGAGTGTACCTTTGTTTGGGTTGCTGGACTGAAGCTGCAGTTTCATCAGTAAATATGTTCTCATTGAAGAGTCTGGCACCAAACCTACCCAACAGACATTGTGGCTGCAGGTGCCAAAAGCTGTAGCTAGAGCTGATGATTTGCTGTTGGTGTTGGTGATTGACATGGGGGGAGTAAAACCAATCTTGGAGCTGTTTTTTTTCTGTAGGCAGGCAAAGGTGGAAGCTGCGCACAAAACTCGTGCTGAAAGTGTGTTGCACTTGGTCTTTGGTGGCTGGTGGGCTCAGCAAAGGCCCTTTAGCAAAGGATAACAAGGGTGCTTTTCCCGTCCTTAGGCATGGTACATTGTTACTGGCTCCATTAAAACAGGCTGCCTGCATTTCTGCTGCTTTTGGATGTGGTTTCTGGCTTTCAACTTTTTTGTTTGTTGGTTTGTTTAAGAATATTTTGTATGGTAAAAAATGATGAGTTGCCTCTGTAGGACTGAGTCCATCCAAAGCAAGCCCAGCTTTCGCACCGTATTTTGACATGCAAGGTCAAGGGAAGGGAGAGTATGTGAGGACTTCATTTTAAGTTTCTAAGGGAGACCAAGAGAATGGAGAATTTCTTCTCAGAGCCCTGCTATGCAAAGGCTCCTGTCTTGATAGGCCCATGTAGTTCTGTTGAGTATATAGCTGTGAGAGTGATGGAAAAAGGCTGGGTGTGATAATAAATGCCTTCATAAAGAGGAACCTTTTTAAAAAAATTCAATTGGCAGTTTATTTTTTTTTTATTCAGACTCTACTGATCTTAAAAAAAAGTTATTGTTGTGGGATGTGTTATTCATATGGTATGATGCCATTCTCTGTAGACTTCTGAAGTTCAGAGGTCTTCAGAATTAATTGCAATTAACCCTTTTAAAAGTGACAGTGCAGCAGTTGCCAATTTTGGTGGCAGAAGAGATGTAACAATAAGGGCCAGAAATTTTACTCTGTTTATAAAGAACTAGTTGCAAATGTGAAAGAGATTTGGGAATCAAGGGTTATTGCCTCTAATTGTTAGATAAGGCTGCTTTGGAGAGGAGCATGGGGAAAGATGAAATGGAAGGAGTTGAATGCTGCAAGACCGCAGCTAAATGCATCCCAGTGGCAGTCTGGCTAGACTCTCAGACTTTACCCTCATGATTTCTTTCTGGGAAAGAATGCAAAGCTTGGCTTGCTATAACTTTTTTTCTGTTCCTCCAGACCAGGGTGCACTTGATGGGGCCCAACCAGGTAGGTAGATTCTTTGTGGCACTAACATTTGGTTCTGTAGATCATGGTATTCCTTTAGCATGACCATGGCCTGTAGCTGGACTGTCTCAGGGGAGCCCAAACTTTGCTCAGCCTTAGGCTGCACTGGCAATTTTTCAGGAGTCCAAAGGCTGCACAGAATTGTTATCTGAGGGCTGCACCTCTGCCTCAGGCACAGCAGAATCATCTGAGCCAAATTTGGCATGTGGGCTTTACGTTGGGCACTTTGGGGCTCATGGGTCTCAGTGTAAATCCCTTTCTTTTCCTGTCRTGGTGGTGGCCTGCTTGGACCAGTTCAGTTTGAACTCCAGTTTATCCTGTTTATCATATGTGCTTTGGAAGTTCATTCTAGGATTGCTTCCTATTCTTTCACATCATCTGCTGCTGCACTCACGTCCTAAGCAGCTGGCACTTAAACTGGATTCTCCCTCTGAAAACAACTGTTACCTATTTCTTCTCCATTTGGCTGCAGAGATGTTATGTTCTGGTAACTTATTCACCCTAAGCTGTGCTTGACTGCCCTGTGCTTGCTGAGCATTTGTTAATACTCTCCAGACTTCAGTCCTAATTCTCAATAATTTGGCTGCTGATGCTTTCATGCTTCCCAGTGTAGATGAAAACTTCTATTGGTGTGAAATTCTTCCTGCTAAGACCTTCACACAATTCATAGAAATGCTGATTCTCGTTTCTTCATTATGTGGAATCTTCTCCATTTTCCATGCTCTCAGACATCCTCCCATTCTGCATTCTTTAATCTGACCCTGTAGTATMTTTTGTATCAGTTAAAACTATATTCACTTCATACGGCTTTCTGATTCTGGCAGTGTTTGGATATTGAGAATATCAARGTGAAAGATATAATGTATTAAAATACTTCTGCTTTGAGCTGCTTACCTTCTTTTCCTTCAGGGCTAAATCCACTCTGGAATTCAATAGGCAACTAAAATCTACTATACTTAAACGTTTCCCAGCTGTGACATAAGCTTAGCAGGAACATGAAATTAYATTTGACAGGTGTTTTACTGACAGTGGCTCTGATTAAACATGCTAAGCTTTGTGAAACTTGCACAGTGATGTTCCAGTATTCTGTAGGGGTGCCCTCTCCTTGACACTGAACTCTGTTAACTTTGCTGTTCTACCAGTAACACTAGCTTTTAGTGGCAAGTTTTATCCRTCTTCATTCTCTCAGTATCAAAGTACCAGGATACTCCCATTTGAATCTTTCAACAAGGGGGCGCTTAACCGAGGCTACCTAATGAAGGTAGGAATGAGCAGAGTCTYTAGACTGAAGTTAGGGTGCCTGAAATCATGACATAAATGCTAAAGGATCTATTTCAAGATATGTAATGGATATATTACTATTTACCTAGAAATAGTAAATAACAGGATTTGCAAGCCAAGCATGTATTTTCCATGATGGCTGTGCAGATTCATCTAAAAGTCCTGTCTTGGGACATTATTGCCATCTTGAATTTCTGCTGTGATAAGTTTGKGTTTCAGTCTGAAACAATAGCGTCAGTATTTCAGCTTCAGCCCTTTCYGAAGTTTGGCCTTGCACTCATTGCACAGAAACACAATAATGATTTTCCTTGCCCCTTGTCTCAGAAGTGCCCTGGAAATGCCACCTTCTGGGAGAGAGSAAAAACACAGTTCAGGCCTTAAAAATGCCATAACAATGTTCAGTAGGTTATGTCCATCAGTGCTGCAAGATAATATCTCTTTAAATGAGCAGCTGTCTTGACTGGAGAGGCTTTAGRTATTGGCTGCTGTCTTGCTCTTCGTTGTTAGAAAAAAAATAATCTGAATTGCATCCTTCAGGGAGGTAGTTTAATTCCAGTGTACGTTGAAAATATTTTTATGTATTAACTTACTCACAAAGTTGGGGCTCTCTGTGAGTACTGATGGTATGTAAATGGTTATTGGTTTGTTGTTAAATATCCAGCATTCCTCATCTGGGGGAGGTAGGAGGCAGCCTTAGAAGCCAAGTGATTACTTCATGGTCTGTAGTTGTGTTCAGTGGAAACTTCATCTATTTGCAATTGCAAACAAGGGGTGAAAACCTAGACACGTAAGATTAATATTGCAAACAGGAAAGCAAGTAGTACAAGGGATGGAGCATCTGGGAAAGATCAAACCTGATAAGAATCTGTTCTGTAGGAGGCAGAGGGGCCACCTGCAGGTAGTTTCCTYCAACAGCCAAGAATGCAGGGAATGGGCTTCAGGTTCTTGTTTATAAATTGGAGCAACTGATTGTTCAGCTTTGATGCTGACTTTTTGATTTTGTCATGTCTGGAGGAAGGAGACTGATCAGATGTATGTCAGGTAGAAACAAGATTGGCAGCTGATGATTTTGAAAGTTTCTGTGTTGACAGGCTCAGCTCAGTGTGATGAAATGAACAAAACTCAGAACTCASAAAAGGGCATGCTGGTTCCTTTGCAGGTCTCATGCATAAATTCATTCTGATTTGGAAGGCAAAGCAGGCCACTCCTTTTTCAGTCATCCAGGGCACTGTAGATTATCTTTTGATTTACTTGGCCCTGGAAATTGTCCAGGGGATACATACCATCTCTGCTTTGGCAGAATCATGGATTGTCTGTTTATTCTTTACCAGCRATCGCAGATGTTTTCACCAAGGCTATATAAGGAACGAGATTTTCGGCTTCACACAGGCCCTGCCATAGGCTTTTGTGTTATTTCAGAGAAAGTAGTTTAAGCTATGTGGCTCCCAAACTCTGACTTTCCAAGTCTGGGAATCAGTGCCTAAGAGCCTGAGCTGAGTGTATGGCCACCCACTACATGACATGAACATGGTGCTGTGCTGTGCAGCACAAAGGCCTGCCTTGATCAAGCTTGCAGTTTGCATCTGACCTCAGACCATCCACTCTCATGTGCAATGCAGCCTCTCAGTTAAGTGAAGATAGCACACATAAATTCTCAGTTAAGTGAATTTAGCATAGAGCAATGTATGATCTGCAAAGATCTGTTGTCTTTCTGACCATTCTCTTTCATCACTATAAAACTCAACAGATTCTCAAGCAATACATCTTCTCGGTGCTATGTGCAGACAGGACCCTTTGTCCTTTAGRGACATATGAGTTGCTCAAGACAAACAGGAAAAGTCACAATATGCCATATTCCTTTCCCAGGACTTTGTAASCTGCACTTAGTTTTATAGACAACTTAATTGCTCTACACCTGGCCCTAAGGCTCTTAGCAAGCTACCAAGAAACTCTGGGCTAGGCAGAGAGTGGGCTACCATGGGATATGTRATGTGATGTTGGTCTTGTGGCCTGGCTGTGACTGTATCTGGTTGTTCCAGATGAGCCTTGCATCACTCTCTCCTAGTCCTGCATTCCGGGTCATGCTCCTCCCTAATTGCCCCTTATCTGCGCATGTGTATGTCCATGTGATGGCCTGTGCCGCCCCTTTCCTGGCCTGTACCTAGTGCTGCCATTAGCTTTTGTAGAATTTCTGGCTTGTGTGCATCAGCAAATTCTGTGTTGTCTGGTGACTTGAAAATGGGACTTGCAAGGTGAAAATGAAAATAAACAAGTAGCAAGAGAACCTGTTCCGGCAAGATGGGGACAAAAGGGGGCTGGTGACATCTTAATTGTCATGGCTAGTGTATATGAGTTCTCTGGCTGCCATTTGCAGCACCAAGTGGTCATCTGGTACTAACAGGCAGTGTTTCCAGAAACATCAGGTTTGCCCTTCTGGTGCCTCAGTTGCTGCATGGCAAGTGTAGCCAAGTGGTAGGTGAAGGCCAGAGCCTGTGCTCTGGTGAGAAAATGGCTGCATACTCTGMATATGGTAAATCCATGTGGGGAAAAGGGTTTATTTCAAGAGGAATGATGTATTGTAGGTCTGTCCTGCATAAGCAGTGATCCTTGCTACTTTTCTGCTGTGGTCTGTATCAGATGAATTACCATATGGGAGGAAGGAGGGTATTATTKAGTAAAACCTCAATAGCCCCTTTCACTGTTCCACTCTCTGCCTGACAAGAAAACACAGGTTTCAGAGTAGGGTGAGTATCTAAAACAGTGGGAAGACTTTAACCCTTCACACTAAAGGAATCATTTCATCTCCACTGCTGCTAAAAAAAAAGTCATCTTTGTGGAAATGGATTGGGTGTTGTGTCTGGGAGAGAATCAGACTTTCCCTCAAACTCTGTATGCCTGCAAGATTTGTGACCTGATTCTCACTTATCTAAATCTCTCTATTCCCCAGCATGTCTGCTAAGCTTGGCCGTGCGTGTCTGCTTGGGCTTTGTTCATGGGGCCGAGATCTCTGCTGGCAGAAGTCCACTGACGGTTGAAGACTTGCTTTGGGGAAAACTTGGCTTGTTGTCTCTGATGCCTCAAGTGGTGGCTGGGAGTGTCCTCCATGACATAACGGTGCTTTATGGGTTATTTGGCTCGAGTGTGATGGGGACTGTTGTCTGCATGGTTTTTACAAAGAATGCTTTATTGTGCTGCACTTTGCAGYTCCTTCCGGCTCAGGCTGGAAAATTTCTCTGTGGATGGAAAATCTAGGAAGCGGTGAAGAGCTTATTCTACAATCCCCCTGGAGAATCCAGCAGCCCTACTTAGTCCATCTGTAGAAGAGACTTATGATGATGCTTGCATCCTCTCTCTGGGATATGACTGGAGCTGCTCTTTTTCTAGGAATTTCTTGTTTTCCAGGGTATGAAATGGCCTGTGTTCTGTGTGCAAGACAAAGCTTCAGGTGAAGCAAGAAACAGATGCACCAGACTCTAAGCAGTTAGTCTGGGACTGTGTGCAGATTGGAAGGAGTTATTGTGCCAATGAGGGGCAGTTTTCCCTGTGCACATCAGGAGCAGTGCCCAGGGACAACTTTGCAGGAAATGCTCTTGAGCACTCTGCTTTCTACTTGCCTCCAACCCTGTGTGCCCCCGAGGCATTCTGGCTTTCAATCCTTTCTCTGCTTTCAGGGCTGGAGCAGAGAATCTGTTCTTGATTCTCATTGACTTGCCAGGCCCTTGGTGTTCAGGTTTCTGCTTCCAGACTAAGCCCATGGTAACTGCTGAAAATCAGATTTAGCTTTGCTGGCAGCTGTGGCAAACCAGACTTCTGCCTTGTAATGGTGGTTTCTCGTTCTTTCTTTACCCTTTGCTGCCAAGACCACAATGAAGTCCTTAAACTCCCTGTAATTTCTGGCATTTTATCTGCAGGTGATGACAAATATGGAAGAAAAGTAATTTTGTTCAGTGCCTGCCGGATGCCCCCAAGTCATCAACTAGATCATGTGAAGCTGCTGGGGTGAGTAGAATCTTAGCAGGCTGCTGTCAATTTCTAAAATCTGACCTAATTCTCAGGTGTTGGGTTCATGGGGACAGATCCATCTGCAGTATCTTCTTAAGCTGGACATGTCCTCCCAAGTGCTTACCTCCATTGCTGGAGATGCAAATCCTCTGTTAYGGCACACAGAAGGAGTCCCAAAGGTAGGAAGAGCCTCTGTAGCAGAGCACAAAGTGAGTTCATCCRTTTTTTCTTCTCAGGTACCTGAAATTCACACTGGACCAGTATGTGGAGAGTGATTACACATTGGTGTACCTGCACCATGGCCTGACCAGTGAGAACAAGCCATCCCTGAGCTGGTTGCGGGATGCCTACAGGGAATTCGATCGCAAGTGCGTGAGGCTGCAGCAGCAAGGATGTTATGTGCTGTTCTGTAACCTAACATGGGGGATCTTCCCCAGGCCCCCTGTGTAGCTTGGTGATCWTAATTTACTGTCACTTATTCTCCTSCTTAAGGAGCTGGATTGTTGTTTAATGCAGAAGGAATTGTGGGATAAACAGCTCCTTCTGTAGTTGCATCCTTTCAGTCAACAGGCAAGCAGCAAACCCAGGACCTGGTGCAAGTGTTTCAGCCCCATGGTATAATTGTAGGCTCCTGGTGAGGCTGCTTATTGCTTTTAGATAAATCTTGGAATACAGGGTAGCATGCCCTTAGGCTSCTGAGTGGCCTGACAAGCTACAAAGCATGGGAGAGCAGAGGTCATGGGTACTGGGACATGGTGAGGCTCAGTGCAAAAGGGATGAAGCAACCAGGGTGCCTTAATCTTGTGGAAAGATTGGTTCCTCTGCTTAAAGTACAGCTTGTTTTTACTGGGCTTCTCTTGGCAGGTACAAGAAGAACATCAAAGCGTTGTATATTGTGCACCCAACCATGTTCATCAAGACCCTACTGATACTCTTCAAGCCTCTGATCAGGTAGGAAGGAAGCACTATAGGATGCTCACCCACATTGTCACACTGCAGGGGAACAATAGGGCATTCTCAGAGGGCCACAAGGTGAGCCCAGGCTGCCAAGGCTATTGTGGAGTCTCTCACCTATTCTGTCTCCTCCTATTCCTGAGCTCAGAAATACTCACACACCAGAAATACTACCTCTTTAAGAGCCTACAGAGTTGGCAGCGCTGTGCTGCTCCTTTTCTCTCCAGCCAGGTGGAAGTAAAATGTTGTAGGCTCTGCTAATAGTGAAAAAGGAAGTGAGAGTATTAGTCCAAATTGTATTTAATTTAATATGATACTGAAATTATAACTCTGTGATATAATTGAGAGTAGAACTTTCTCAAGCCTACTGATRAACATAGTAAGGGTAAATCCAACATTTTAGGGAGCCTGCTGCTGCTAAKGCATCTAATGCATGTTGGAGAGCCTTTGCATCTCCTGGTAAAATAGATGGAGTGTAAGAGCTATATGGGTAGCATATTTGTTGCTCAGCCATACCTACCCTGTGTCCCACTGATGTTTCTTGCAGCCCTCTGCTTTCCTTTTCTATAAAAAGTCAGTTCCGTTACTGGATTTCCCGATTCCTCACGTATCGACCTTTCTCTTGTTTTTCAGCTTTAAATTTGGACGGAARATTTTTTATGTGAATTACCTTAGTGAGCTGGAGGAGTATGTGAAGCTGGAACAGTTGGGGATCCCAAGCCAAGTGCTGAAGTGAGAATACTGCCTGTCTCCCACTTGCTTAGGGCTCTGTGAGAGGGGACTTCTTTGAAAGAGTGGCAAAGGAAAGAAGAGATKGCTCCACTCAGGCAGTGGTTTTGCATGGTGTGGTGACAAGCTGCCTTCAAGACTATGATTTCTCTCTGTAGTCCTTTCTGCATGTCCTTGGCCCAAGTCCTCAGTTCTGTCCTTGAGTTAAAAATCCTCCTCCAGTGGAGCACCAATCCGTCATCTCCCACTCACCCCTGGGGACAAGATGCTGACCTTAACATTGATCTGGAGCTCATGGCGTGCATCTGCTATGTCTGGGCACCTGTTTAGCTCATTCTGCACTGCTCAGCTTGTCTTTGGGACTACCCAAAGTTGCCATAATCTCAGTCCTACCAGATTGCTTCCCTGTCCCACACCCACATGTGCATCTGTCTCATCACAAGCAGTGCTGTCCTGGCCTCCTGCCCACGCTGTTAGTCAGCCACTCCAACTCTTGATTCTGGATAAATTCTCATTTTCTCCCTGTTGTTTTTCTGGCAATCAGATGTTTGTTTTTGTGCTCCAGAGCTGCCTGTCCTGGTTTTGCGTAGTGTAATTGACCATACTGGTCTGGTGCTGTTACCAGTGGTTGTGGTCGTGCACTTTCTGGAAGGTGGAGTGGATTTTGACTAGGCTGTGTTTTGCTGCAGGTATGATGAATACTTGAGATCCCTGCAGAAACCTTCACAAGTGCCCCAGAAGTCAACACCCCCACGCCCACCGCTGCCAAACCAGCAGTTTGGAGTCTCCCTACAGCAGTGAGTATCTCTGGACTGTGTTGCTTTTGCCCTGACTTGTTTATATGAGATCACTGTACTTATAACTGAACAACAGCAAAAATGGCTGTGGAATTTCTTGTAGTTCAGACTTCCTACAAAACTTTAGTAATTTTCCTGAGGAACTCTGTGTTCATGTCCAGATTCTGACTGACTCAGTTCTGTTCCACCCTCTTGATCCCTGGGTTGGATTGTTTTTGCAGCTTAGGGTCACTAYGGGAGGAGCAAAGTAAAGACCATGGGAACAGCTTTATGGCACTAGAAACTTCCTTTTAAGCAAAGGAAGTCCTTAAGAGGCTGACAGAGGTCTCTTTAGGACTATGCTACTTTGAGCAGTGCTGCAGATTGGTTTCTTAGTTTTTTTCCATATCATAAATTCTATTTTAAAAGCACTTCTATTCACTCTTGTAGTGAATCCCACTCCCCATTCCTGCACAGTGACACAGGCAAACATAGACACTGGCAAGGGCTAGTGATACTGAGTAAGTGTTGAAGGTATTTTTAACTGAGTGTGGTTTTGCCTCCCCAGGGAATGAGGAGGAGCCAGTACTGTGTAGCTAGACAGATCCTCTGAGGCAGTCTGGGAACACATTCCGCAGCTTCAATGCAGCATTTCCAGATGGTGTTTCCCATGGTGCYGTGTGCCTGAGCTTGTTAGTAGCCTGGGAGGGGTGAACAGCTCCAAGCTATCAGGTGGTGTGGTCAGTCAAATGTGAGGGTGGCAGCGAACACCTTGGCGTCACAAGGTTTTCCATTGTGTTGATAAATCTTCTGTCACAAGGGTGTGGTGGCTAAAATTATTTTTCTCGTGTGTCAACTTCTTTCTGCCCTTGTTCCTATGGAAAAGGAAAAAGGAAGTGTAACCCATTTAATCTGATTCAAAACTAGCATCCTTGCCTTCTGGGAAACCCTTTGCCCTGACATATACAGTCTGTGATTTTTACAGAAGATGGAAAAATATTCCTGTGGTCTMGTAATGAGCTCATAGTTGCTCCACTGAATGATGTAACATGATKGGTAAAGAGGATAGAAGACTGGAATAATGTCTGAAGCAGGGATGGGGATAGCAAGATCATATGTAGTACAGATTGTTTGGGCAGCTTCAAGAGCTGGGGGCTGCGTGCAGGGCATGACCACTCCTGTGTACCACTTATGTGTAACACTTATGTAATTGTTTCTTGCTTCAGTCTCAGGGAGAAGAGCCCTGATCAGTCTCCTGTTCCTCTGGTGGTCAGAGACACCATTGCCCATTTGCAAGAGCATGGTAAGTGTTTGGGGAAGCTGCAGTCCTTTATCAGTGACCTCCCTTCTGTTCAAGCTCCCATCAAGACTATGGTAAGATAAAGAACAGCAGTCTAGAATAGGGTGTAAAGCCTGAACTAGGTGAGTTAGCCTTCAAGTGAGACTGTGCAGGGCTTAGGAGACCTCTTTCAGGACTCCATCCTTCCACTTGAATAAGAATAGCCAAATGCTGCTTGTATCCTTTGTCTGATAATAGAAGCAGAAAGAATTGTTGTATTCTAATAGAAGAGACTTGTTAACATCTGTCTGAATGCCCTACAGCATGGATTATGCTAAGGACAGCATTTTTGGAGACTCACATGGTTCATCTTTCTTCTCCATCTGCTCTCACTTCACAGCTCTTACTACAGAGGGGATTTTCCGGAGATCAGCAAATACACAGGTTGTCAGAGAGGTCCAGCAAAAATACAACATGGGTAAGTGCCCAAACAGATCAGAGCCCCTCTCATTCCCTCACTACTACTGTCCAACGGAAACTGTCYTGGAACTAGTCCATCATGGATCCTCTCCTCTGATAGGTGTGTAGGTGAGGCCTCATCTTGGGGTATGACCTGAGTTCTGCTGTATGGAAGGCATATTCCTTCCCACTCATGTTCCCCTTAGTACACTTTTTTCCTCTGAAAGTTTCCTTGTTTCTTGGGTGGGATATACCATCTTACTCTGGTTATACTGAAGGGACTGAAGATGACCAGGAAGAAACTTAGTCATGTTTCATTTGCTGACTTCTGAAGATGTAGTGCTGGATTCAGCATTGCTTTGTATGTGATTTTGGGACATATTTTTCCACTCTRCTAGAAGATTAATTCTGTGTTCTTTAAAATATCCCTTCCTTAGTTTTGGGCTCTGACCATCATGTCCTATCCTTTGTCTGGAGGAGGTCCTGCTTTGGCTGGTGAGCACTACTGAGTCTCTGCTCTACCTTCTCAGGTGTGCCTGTAGATTTCCAGGAGTATGAAGATRTCCACCTCCCTGCTGTGATTCTCAAGACCTTCTTGAGGGAGCTACCTGAGCCTCTCCTCACCTTTGGCCTCTACAGCCATGTTGTCAACTTCCAGAGTGAGTTGTAACAAGTGTGCTACTCCCTGAATGTTGCACTGGCTAGGGGCAAAGATGTCTAAGTGGGGACATGCATGGGATACCTTGTGATTGCCAACAGGGCTTTCCTCAGGATAGGTGCTGAGGATTGTCCCATCTGTCTTGATTTTTAGATGTGGAGGAGGGGAATCGTGTGGATGTTGTTTGCAAAGCTCTCCAGACTTTGCCAGAAGAAAACTACCTAGTGCTCCGTTTACTGACAGCCTTTCTGGTGCAGGTGAGCAGTTCCAAATGYGGGCAGCTGTATTTCAGTTCCGTTTCAAGTGCCTTGCGTCAGCTTTTTGTCTGCCTGCTCTCTCTTTTTCTCTGAGAGGAAATGAGTCTCAGGCTAGGGAATTGTCTTTCTTTACCTTATGTTCTTATTTAAAGATCAAGAATGATCAAGGTGAACTAGCCTAAACAGTTCAAGGACGATCATGGTGCACTCGCCTAAGCATTTGCTTGTCAGAATGCTGAGAGGTACAGGCAGGCCTTCACCCTAAAAGGTGCAGGCATACAGCCTGTGTGGTCTGTACCAGGGCAGCTGAAAGCTCCCCAGGGAGGAGGTAGAACTACAAAATAGCTGAGTAGAAGAGGTTTCTCAGATCTGCCTTACTGTACTTTCTGCTGCCAAGGAAGCTGCTGCAAKGTTATTTCAGCAAGAGGAAAGATCATGAGTGGTGATCTGGACTTGTTGAGATATTAGCTGACAGTGGTCTTGGTCCTTTTGTTACATATGGCCTGGTCAGCTTTTCTCCTTTCATTTTCTCTGGGAGTCTGTCAGCTCTCAGGCTTTGGGGAAGAATAGAGAGCAGCGGCTGTGCTGTTCTGTAGGATTCACAATGGTCTTTTTCTTTCCCACACAGGTTTCTGCTCACAGTGACAGAAACAAGATGACAAACACCAACCTAGCAGTTGTGTTTGGCCCAAATCTGCTCTGGGCCAAAGATGTGGCCATCACTCTAAAAGCCATCAATCCTATCAATACCTTCACCAAATTCCTGCTGGACCACCAGAAGGAACTGTTTGAGACTGCAGAGGTTTGAATCTAGGCCAGCCCACACCTGCACACTGTGCCCACCTTCCCTCTTCTTTATCTTGGAGMTGTGACCAAGCTGTCTCCAGTACTAAGGGACCATTGATCTTCTGGGTGATGAGCAGAGTGAGGGCTGTGGAGATGATGCTGAAAGCGTGCAAGTAAGTGAGCAGGACACCTGCAGCTCCGGATGGGCAGGGGAGCTGGTCTCCYAGCTGCTGAGACTGGAGTCCGAATCCACCTGCGCAGCTCCTCCAGGGCTCATCACCAGTCTTCTGCCCTATCAGACGACCTACCTTCCTTTCCTCCTTCCCTTACRTGCAGTTTTTCTGCCCTCCTGGTCCCTTCCTCAGCACAGATCTTTTTATTCAAGCTCCCAATAGCCCCAGCTCACCCCTCCTTGCCACAGCTGGGCTGTCTGGGCAAGGGTGGGCTTGCTGGATTTTGTGATGGAGACATTGTTACTGCGAGTGCCATTTCTCAGCACTGAAAATGCATCCTGCCTTTCCCCRGAAGCACCTAAAGCAAGGAAGGGAGCAGTAGCTCTTGGCTTTGGGTGGCAGCATGTCCTACACTTGCAAACACCACTCTGAACCTCCTGCTTTAGGCAGGTGGGTGAAGGATAGGCTCATGGCAGTGGGSTGTGTTACCTGTCAGACTCCAAAACAACGTAGGTGAATTTAGCCCATAGCCCAGCCTTTCTGGGATCACCCACTGTAGATACTATTCAGTGCTTGCTGGAGTGTAATGGTTGACTTGCCTCCTGCAGCAGTCCAGTTCAGGTGTGCTTGTCCCTCCAGCAGCACTTCCAGCCTGGCTGGGAATGTTCGTGCCAGGCCTGGCTCTGTGTGTGGGCCAGCTGTGACCCTTTGACAGCTGGTGAGTCTGAATGGCAGGAGCAAGTGCCCTGGTGGCACTGAGCTGCTGAACACCATGAAGATCACTGGCTGTCCCTGCAGCAGCAGAAGGCCTCCCCTTCTGGTGTATGTATCTGTGCTGACTGGCACARACCGCCTTGACTAGTTGTCTTTTTAAGCACAACTTTCCCCAGCACAGTGTAACAGAGAGCATGGCCTTGAGGGAAAGTCTCAGGACTGGGGCTGACCCTCACCATGGAGTGCACCAGGCCTGGATTACAAATTTCTGCCCAGGTGCTGAGCACTCATGTGCCAAAGCTGTGAGGGAACAGCTGTTCCCTTGGCCAAAGGCCAAGGGCCTTTGCTGTGTGTCCTCCTGGGTTCATACCTTCCACCCTGCCATCTGCTCAGATGCATCCTGTATGCCCTGGGCACAACTGGAGAGATCTGGTGCTCTGCAAGGCAGGCTCAGAGTAGGGTGATCAGGCACCTCCCCAGAGCAGCTGCAATACTGTTAGGGCATCACTGTTGGGTTTAGGTGGCCTCATTCCCATTTCCTAAAAAAAAAATAAAGAGATCCTTCTCCTTAGCCTGGGCCTGTCAGGATTTTACGAGGGAGCTTCTAGCCTTACTTCACTGGGGTGATGGATCTTTGTATTCTTGTGCCCTGTGTGCCTGGGGCCAGCCCTCCCTGCTGCATCTGGCCTCGGRGACAAATCTTTTGGACCAAGCAGAATGGTTGTTTTAAAAGCTACTGGATGCTAAATAGAATTTGCTTTTTCATCATATTTTAGCCTGCCTTTAAACACTGACCAAAGGTCAGTGCCCCTGGTGTAATCAAAGTAAGTGACATCTGCTGCAGGAATTAAGGAGATTGCTCTTTTTGCTAAACTCTGGAATGGGGATAGGTGCAAACACAGGCAGCTCTGCAAGGCAATGCAGGTCCAGCCAGCTGGCTTGGAGGAGGCACACCAACATGTGGGTGGGAACAGTGAACAAGAAAGTGAGCTTTACTAAGACTGGAGCAAGAGATAATCTAAGATAGGACTGGATCTGATCCATTCCAGATACCGGAAGACTTTGCCCTCTGGAAGGGTACAAGGCTGCTGACTTCTTCAAGCCTCCCTCCCTCTTCCAAGAGTAGGYGCCTTCCCTGTTTGGCCAGGATTGTTTCATTCTGAAAAAATCACAGCAGTAGCCAAGTGAATGTTTTGGAGGTAATCTGCTCCTAATTCATCTGTGAGCTCTTCTAGAGTGAGTTAGCAGGGCTGATGTGCTGTGGAGGAGTAATCTGGGGTGGACTGGTGTAGAGAGAGTTGTAYTTGCCCCAGTGTTTAAGGGGCAAGGCTGTGGAGGCTGAGGGAGCCCAGTGTAGCCTCTTCCCCTGCAGGTGCATTGCTCTGTGGAGGCTTTGGTGGGGGGAGAAGGAGACTTGGTGCTCTGACTGTATCTGCCACTGGCACTGGCCTCACCTTGATATCCCTAAAGGAAAGGCAAGCCCAGCCAACTTCTGGGACAAACAAGCCCAAGCTCAGCAACCTGGAATCCAAGTGCCTGCATGCATGAGGCCTGGCCCTATGCACTCTCTGGGGAAGGTGGCATGTTCCAGACTTGCAGAGCAGCAAACACTGTTCCCTATAGCCTGAGGAGCAGTGCTGGAGTAGCTCCTGTGTAGGGGGAAGGTGGGGATTTCTGCAAGTGTCTTGAGTTCTGGCTGTGGTTTGGTGATTTGGGTTTTTTTGGGGGGGGGGGATTTGGGGTTCTTTTTTTAGTGAATTCTTGAAATGGCGTTTCCTTTTTTAGCAAAACAGAGGCTGGTGCATCCCCTGCAGGCAGGGATAAAAGCCTGCTCCATTTCAGTGCCTGCAGGGAGCAGATTCAGAGAGTGTTCAGGAACTACTACTGCTCATGGTGGGAAAGTGCTTGCAAATCCTGGAAGGGACCCAGTGTAAATATCCCCTTTCCTCTGCTGCTCCTTGTGTTGGAGCTGCTGAGGGCCCTGGAGCAGGCACAGTAACCAGGGTTGCTTTTGCAGTCTGTTCTCCTGAATGCCTTGTATTGAAATATCCCTCCTGTGTCCTGAGCAAGGAAGTGGCCCAGGGCTGCCTGCAGCCTGTGCCGGTGGGTGCTTATCAGAGCCTGCCCCTGCTGAGGCCAGGGGGTTAAATTCCCTCCTCACAGGGCAGGATGCTGACTGGGCTGTGTTTCCCTGCCTTGTGTAGGTTGGGGTCAGTACACAATTAAGGTGCTGGTCTGCGTTGGTTTTCTCCTTGCTGTAGAGCTGCCCGAGGGTCTCTYCCCTGGCTTGTCTTTCAGGTTAGCTGTTAGCCATTTCTTCCTGTGGGGGTACTTGTTCAATCAACCTCCTGCTTTCAGCACCTAGAACATTCCCCTCTGCTAAGCCTCCTGCTGTCTTAATGGCCCCTGATCACTCCCTGGCCCAAACTGTGAGCTGACACCAGAGCTTTTGGGCAATGCAGGGGGTCTAGGGCAATCCAGATGCCTTGTGGCAATGTGTGACCTGAGGGCCAGTTTGGTCCCAGTTTCCTTTTTTTATGCATGGGGGCTCCTGTGCAAAAATTTWGGCTTTGCTTTTGTTGCTGGCATTCCCTGCTTTCTTCTTTATTGATGTTCATCAGGTGAAGGCCTGTGTTTCCACGGTTCACGTTGTTTGTTTTCCTTTAATCTGCACCAATCTTGTATTTCACAGTTTGCACTTTTTGTATTTCAATAAAGGTCAAAATGTAATCCTAGATCCAGGTATGTCTGTCAAGTGGCAGCAGCATTGGCTGCTACATCTACAAGAAACAGAAGTAGGGCTGCCCCTATGCTGCCAACCACAGCCATGCTGAGAGGGAGGAAAGGAARTATGAAATGCCTCCTAGGTGAGTAACTGAAGAAATACTCGTTTGCAGCAGCCTTGGGCTGGAAASAGAGTTAAAACAAAAATGGAAGTAGTGTAGATTTGGCTCTTTCCTGAACAGGGCTCTCCTTCCATGTTACCATCTTCCAGGTATGATGAGCARTCTGCCCAGGATTGTCCTAGGTGCCAAATGGGAGCCCCTTTAGGATTAGCTGGCTAAATTTATTCTGTGGCCAAGCAATACATACAGCGGAAGCCTGCACCTTCTCATTTAMTGTGTTTTGCTAACTTGAACAACAGTCACATTAGGACCACCACACTCCTTGATCCACATCCAGTTCACTACCTTTCCCTAAAGACTGTGATCTGCCCATTACATCACTAACCTTTTGCCAGGATGCAAGAATTAGGAGCAGAATGGAGAGTGCTGGAGCTAAAACCATCAGYATTGGGCAATAGCCTGACTGCTGGGATGTCAGCAATGGTGTGTCAGCGTGTGCTAATGCTGATGTCAACACTTGCATGTCTAAACTGTGTRCTGCTTTTCAGTTTTTATTGTTCATAAACTGTCCAGTTAAGGGATTCCCYGTGTTGCTAGTTCTCCTTCCATAGGTTGATACAGCCCCTATAATAGGGTGGGTGTGGTTAACATGCCAGCTCTGCAGCGAGATCTCAAACCTCTGAGTGCTGMAGTTGGTCCTGGCTCTGGGCTTTGTCACAGTGAACTGCCCATCATTGTGCTGCAGCAACATCTGCTCAGACGAGGGGGAGAGTGGGTGCATCTGTCCCTGGCAGGGAGCTGGTGTTGGCAAGACCTATGTTATGTGCAACCATGGGCAATGCTGAACACAGCTTAAACACCATTGCAAGTGGACATGCTCTCATGAGTAGCTGCCCCATGGCTTTTTGGACATTGTTCTGAGAACACTTTTATGAATACATACAGTGGGCTCACAATGGGATGGTATTTAATTGTTCATGACCTTGGTGATTAATCATTCTGCTGTGATTGTTTACTTTCTCACTTACTTGCTGATGGTTTTTCCAGTCCACTGTCTTACTGGTGACATAGTGTAAAGGGTAGAGACTGAAGGCCCTGTAATAAGCCCCAGGATCCTACAGGATGGTTTCTTGAGTTTCGATACTATAGACTGTCTTTTCTAAATCCATGAAATGACACTCATAAATACACACATACACATATATATAATGTAGATASATCAGCACTTGTAAGGTTGCAGTGGGATCCTCAGTTTGCTGTTACCTCCTGAAGATGTGATTAAGAAAAGATTGCTTTTATTGGTTACCCTTGTACCCCAAGCTGGATTATTCCCTTTGTGGAAGCTTCTATTTTTTTTTCCCCCATTCCTGCCATTTTATCCACTGTGTCTTTTTTTTATAATAACCAGATCCCCTTTACACTGCAGCTTAAATCAGCAGTTGTTATGTAAGTACACAGATTTTTTTCTAATCTTGTCTTCCCTTTAAAGGGAAAGTGTTGGCATTCTACCTAGCCTTGTGTGTTATACAGGGTTAGCCTTTAGCAATACTACATAACAGCTGTTAAGATGGTAATTCTTTCCATATCTTAGTCTCCCATGCTACTTTAAGCGTGTAACAGCAACCACACACAATGCAAATTCTGTGGGTATATTTCTACCCCCTTCTCTCGCCCCTTTCCTCTGGGGACGAGTTAATACTTAGTGAAGGTGGGACTTCCAGGTAATTCAGTTTCCCAATTCACTGGTGAGGTCTGCAGAGTCAAACACTGTATGACTGTTCCTCCCACCTCCAGGTACCTGTTCCGTYGCTTGCAATCCTTCCAGTAGATTAATCTCAGTAGGATCCCACTGACTGCTCCAACTGTAATGCACCAGTCCATTTTGCCCTCTGATGAAGGCAGTGACTTGCTCTGTCCTGCATTCATTGACAGGGCTCTGACCCTCCTGTTTCTTGGAGGAAAACAAACATGAGCCTGGGACTGTCCCAGGCCTGTTGGTACCCACAGTGAAAAGCAGAGTGTTGCTTACGTAAAAGTTTTATTGGAAATTCTTTGAATATTTGAAGAACAATGAAGACTTTCCAAAACAATACACTTGAGGAACCTTCCCCTCCACCCAAAGTATGTGTAAATCAGCATCTACATACATACTGTCCTTAATATTGAGTCGAGCAGAGATCTGCTAAAATAAACAGCCTTCATAATACAATCTGTGGCAGGCCACAGCAGCAACGAGGTCTTTACCGAAGCAGAGCATTTGTGCAATGGTCAGGGAACTCAGAGCCTAAATGTAGCAACTAWGTGTTGATACTGAGGAATGTCCAGAGAAGAGGCAGGTAACTCAGCCCTGGAGAATCTCTTATTGCTATGGCCATCCAGCTCAACACCAGCAGCTTATATAGGCAATCTTCCAGCCTTCTGAAGTAGAAAAAAAATGTGCCACAGTGACATTCTGCCTTACGAGATGTGAGAGCGGTAGCCACATTAGGAACTCCATCAATAAAGGAGCACAGGAACAAGCACTGATGTCCTGGGTGGGATTAACAAGAATGGCAGTGCTCCCTGCCAGCTCCACAGCTTGTCAGCAGGAGAGCACAGCAGGAGTGCTGRCTACATGAAGTTTAACCTCGACTATTCATGTAGTGTGAACCAGCACTTTGCCTCATCTCTGCTGGTCTGCAGCCCAGATAGTATCACTTCAGAGACTAAAGGTGAGAACCACCTGTYTGTGGGCTACTTCTTAGAAGGCGACAGACCAATTTCCTGAGCACAGGTGAGAGGGAGCTGATCCATTAATTCCTTGTGTTCCTGCACCCTTCTGCGACCCTTTCCACCTGTGAAACAAGGTGGCCGTTGGCTGGGGATCAAGTATTTGTTACAGCCCATGTAACTTAAGCCCTCYTATAAACTGTTTCATCTTGGAAGCTTTCTAAAATGTTTGTGCATCTTTACAGGGACAAAGCAATTTCCATGTAAGGKTGCTATGAAATTGAATTGGTTGAGTAAAATAACAAGGTTCTGGTGGGTAACTTTCCTTTAGTAAAGCTCTTGCCTAGTGTTTTAGAGCTTACATGGCCTCCCACCAAACACATCACTCAACAAAAAAGCTGGCAAAGTTCAAAGCACTGCATTACTCTGACCTTACACTAGGCTCCATTCTGAGCTTGGTTCTTTGCTCCAGCAGTGGCACAGAAATAGTGTTCCAGAGTGGAGCTGTGTTTCCCCCATCAGCTGCAGGCAATCTCTTTCAACTGTGAATGCAGCTAAGCTGAAGAAGCTCCCACACTGCACTGTAGAAGGCCGGTTACTCCGCCACTCTGAGGAAATGAAGATGGTTTCTCGGTACCACACAACCCCACCTCAAAGAAAAAAAAAGTGGTTTTGGACAGTAAGGGGTCTTGCAGTCGCTYGCTCTAGTTACACATGGGAGGAGGAGAAAGAACCACAAGAAAACCCCCTATCCAAATTTTTGTTTAGTGTCACTGTTTTTCCTCCCATCCTTACATGAGGCAGAAGACACGCAACAGCCAAATCACCCACAGAGCATTGCCAATGGCCAGATTATTACAAAAATAAAATTTCAGCTACTCACAAGCCAGCTGATTAAAAGTACCATAAGCTTTTCAAAAAAATGTGCTTCTTTAAAGAAGCTGCCTTCTGAATAGCCAAAGAACACTACAAATTCATCCATGCCTATCAGAAAACAGCTTTTTACCAAGTCCCTGCCACTCCATTCCACTGATGTGTGCATTTCATTCTATCAGTGAGCCCTGACTGGATATAATGGACATACAGTCCCYAAAACAGAGTGTAATATTAATCAAGTCTGTCTTAGAAAATAAATATCTTGGATATTTTCCTGCAAAGAAAGACCAGTCTCACTGGCCAGGGTTCCATGGCACACTTACTCTGCAGTGATCCAGGACAGAATGACCCGCACTACTACATGAAAACAGAACATTTTTTAAATATAGGTTTCTTTAAAAGCAATAAATATTTTTTAATTCTTAAGATCATCTATTAACCATAAAGCAGGAAGGCTTGCAAGGATTAAAGGAAAAAATCTTGGACTAAGACTCCTAGTTACCTAACCCTAAAGAAATAGGATTCCTAGTATTTACAATTATGTTTCAGAAGCAGAGACTATGAATTCAGCATCATCACAGGTGCTACGTGCAGGCTTGTCAACAGTCAACACTGTTAGACTCAGCATGGCCGTGTGTCAGTGCACTCAGGAAGGAAATGTGGAAAGCATTTCTTTAGTTTCACTCCTCCTTATCAGGCTCTGTCTTGCACAGTGACTGTGTAGAGYGCCAGTTCCTTAGAAGCAGGAAAACAAAGGTAATTTGTATTCTGCAGGTCCCAAAGCTGATGTCTCTCCCTGGGCTTCAGGCACGCACACTGAAGTCAGGATGAAATGCCCCGTTCTGCGGAATGGATGTCCTGGACTTCAAACTGTCGAATTTGCTGAACTCACAGACCCTGGAAATAAGCTGAAGCTTTCTATGCTCTAACRGGATCAGAGACTGTAGGAAAAAGTCTGTTAGCAAGAAGCTCTACCTAGGGATTTTACACCATAGGACCCTTGGAGGAAGCATATGGCAACTTTTCACAAAGCCCCTCCACACAGAACACAGACTGAGGAGAAAATAAGTTTCCATAYACTGGAGTTTGACTTCCTGTGCCCCAACTGAAGTCTTAAAACTGACCGTGATCAGGAAAAGCAGTCCAGAACTATGTGGTGGAAAAGCTGAGGAAAATCAGCAGATGAGCTGGATCTGTAATTGAAGAGAGCAATCAAAGAAAGCTCACTTGATGGAAGGAATTAGTCAGTGTGAACAAAAGGCAGAGCAGGGGCAATAGAGATATTTGCTGATGTCATCTCCAGGATGCCTTGAGGAAGATTTGCTGCAGCAAAACTGGGAAACAACTTCACTGCAAGGTTTCCACAAAAGCATCAAATTCTTTGACATTTTTTTCATGGACTGCCAGCTTCTCTGGTAACGAGTCCTGGAARGGTAAGGAAAGGTGCAGATCAGGGCTCATTCACAGCAGACAGAAGGAAGTTTTAAACACACTAGGATAAAAATTCTGAGTCATGCAATCCCTCTCCACTGCTCTGGGCTCTCCTTTCTATGGGCACAAAATCAGGAGCCCTCTGGGAGCATCCAGAAGTGACCCTGAGAAGGGCACTCTGCCCAGAGTCTGTTTGTTCTGCAGGAACAAGAGGTGCAGTGGGGCCTCACCTTGTGCAATCCCCACTAGCTGCAGCACAATAACCTGCTCATGTCACTGCTTTTATCAAGTCACTTGCAGCTCTCAGCCTTTGGGTTTCATTTTTCTCCAYAGTATTGGTACAATGCCAGAGAGCCTAACAGAGCACTCACCCAGACATGATTTTGACCAGCCACACAAGAACTTCAGCTCTGCTCAGGCTGCAAGGTCAGGCCTRCTTTGCCACCAAGTGTGACACCCCAGAAGTAGGATTAGTTTGGGGGGTTTCAATGACAACCAGAGCAAGCATGCTAMAGCAGCCTTCAGCTTCAAGACAAACACCCCAGTTTCAGAGGCTCAGGTGTGCCACAAACAAATCTRCATGGACCCCCTTTGGGCAGGGTCTCTCTTCTGTAAAGTATAGAAAAGACCTGGGGCCTGTTACAGTGGGTCCAGAGGTGGGCCACAAAAATGATTTTATGAAGCTGGTGAAAAACTGTAACACACTGCCCAGAGAGGTGGTGGATGTCCCATCCATGGGAATATTCAAGGCCAGATTGGATGGGGCTCTGAGCAACCTGATTTAGTTGAAGGGGTCCCTGCTCATTGCAGAGGGTTGGACTTGATGACCTTTAAAGGTTCCTTCCAACCCAAACTATGATAGARTTCTGTGAAGACACTTTCTTCAAACTAGGAATAGGGAGAGCATTATCAAGTACATATGATTTGCACAAACAGAAATTTCCTTACCAAATCCTCTGCCATGGACTGYGCTCCAATGTCAATGGAAAGGCTGCTGAGTTGAGGGGGGTTCTGAAACTCACGGTAAAATGTCCCCAGGTCCATTGGAAGAATGTCATCTTTTGAAAATGCTGGTTTCTAGGATCCAAGATKCTGCTGTTAATTCCCAGAGACATTGGCTTCCCTTTTATTATAGTCTCACGTAAAGTCATTACTTGCTATCAGTAAACATACTGGCATTACAACTGTTGTTGCAGTAAAGCATATTAAATAACAGAAGAACGGCCAATATCTCTGCTCACTTGAGCAGCTGGAAAAGAGCATTTCTTTGGAATCTGGCTCCTGTAGGCATTAAGAGAGGATGCCAAGGCAAAGCATTGGTAGAGAACTGAAATGGTATATAATTTGTAGCTGTTAATTCCCACTACCAGTGTCTTTGCAGTTTTGGGACTGTCAGGCTCTAATGTGGTACTGTGAATGTTTTTTCCACTCCCACTGAAAACTACTCTGACATCATTTGCCATTGCACCAGCACACGAAGCCCACCTAAGGTGCAAGTGTTGTGTAAGAGCTCTGATGACGGCACTTACAAAGTCAATCATAACAAAGTCATCCTGGGTGTTCCCTGTGCTGCTGCCACTGGAGCCCTCTGAGTGTAAGCTGCCTTGTAGAGGAGAGTCAGCTTCTGGGGATTCAGGAGGATTGACCTGTCCAAGAAATTAAAGATGATCAATACTGATTTTATGATCGYGTCTGTCTGTGTACTTTGGCAGTGYGGGGGCAGTTAGGTGGCTGGACAATAAATATAAACTAAAGCAGGGACAGCAAACACATGCTGTTACTTGCACRTCTAGAGAGCCCAAGATTCAAGTCAAGGAGACTTCTTGAAACCAAACAGATCTGAGCAGCTAGTTACTTTGTCCAAAATCAAAGTGTATTCAAGGCAGAGAAGAGCATGGATGTTTGTGTAAGGGATGCTGAGAAGGCACATATACCTCTGGAAGAGTCTTACCATYGGGTCGTTATCTTCCAGCTCAACATTCTTGGGAGCAAACATGGCAAAAGGAATGTCTAAGTTGGCCATGGTCACCTGARGAGATTTAGCAAACAGAATTTCACTGAGACGCTCTGCTTATGTGGCACAGAAAAGGATACTGAACGTCTTTGTCAGGCCAGCTAAAAATGGCCCACATCAGCAGTTAGGCAGCAGTTAGGCATTTAAAATGCATGAAATCCAGAGATGATACTCAGTTGACCCAACACAGATACATAACTTGTGATGGGATTGCTTATATACATGTCTTGTATAATACAGGCAAAGATTAATGAACTGCTACAAATTGAAACAATTCTCCTTCCTTCATCCAAAAGGCCTYGAACTACAGCCCTAGAAACTAGGCAGATCTCCAAGCTGCCCTAGCTGAACTTAAATGCTTGCTCCTAGTGATGAAGTGGTCTACTGCACATTCCTTCAAGGAAGGGAGGCTTGCTACCAGCTTTCCTAGTTAACAGACATGTGGTAGTGGCAGATCATTGCGAGACCCAAGTAGAGCATCARGTCTTCTATTCTCAAACAGGGTGTAGGCAAAGTGGCACTAATACAACAGCAAAAGGATTTTATGAAAGACAAAACAAGCCTTGGCAAAACATTGTAGGGAAATGCCACAAGCAGAAATATGCACTTTCAGTCTCTGAAGTTGCCCTGGCACTGGGATGCTTTTTTGCTAAAAAGGGTATGTATTATGTGCTCCCTGAGGAGATCTACTGCTTGTTACCTGGTTAATGGGTTTGTTGACAAAAGCTCCCACTTTCCGGATAAAGATGGTCTCCAAAAGGTCATGYGGGGAGCCACACTTTCCTTCGCTGCTATTGGAAACTGTTTCTGTGTCCTCACTGGGGGGAGGAAAAGAGATAATTAGTGCCTCATGACACAAACAGTGTAGATAAATAACATTCTTTATGAGAATCCTTTATTTTTCTTGGTTCACTCCTAACACTGGAAGAAGGRCAACAGAATCTGTCCTTGTGCCATACCATCCTCCTCAGTTGAGAGAGCACAAAAGGAAAGTGAAGACTTGTGTAAACAGATTTTTGTTCAAAACTGGACAAAAACTATTTAGCTGAATGAAAAGTTGCTGCCAACTGAAATAGGCTTTTCTTCTGGGAAGTGGATTTGTGCATGTACACAGCAATTCCTGTACGTCACTACTGATTTTTTTCATTAATACAGTAGTCACAGATCTTTCAGGAGGTGAGAGCAAGAAGCACAGTTGTATCTGTCATTCAGTTTATAAAGGTAGCAGTCTGGTACATCACAACAGCCACTCCCAGTGTGATTAATTCACTCCATGGCTATTAGGTATTTCCATGACCTGTTTCAGTTTCTTTCCTACCAGGTACTCAGAACTTTAAAACAAAAAAAATGGTTTAGTCTTATGGAAAGAGGATTACTTAGATCACATACCCAGGAAAGTGCTAGTGCAACTGAGTTTTGGTTTCCCCACAGCAAAATCTCTGTGACTCACAACTATGTGACCTCAAGAGAGATTTCGGTGATCAAAAAAACAGAAGGATTTAATTAGCTGAGAGGGAATTGATTTAGGACAGTTTGGGGTTGCATTGTTTCCTTTTAAGTAACTTTGTGCCTAAAGTTTCTTACTATAATGATAAACAGATTTATGRTAAATACAACTGGCTTTGGTAACAATGCACTTTAGGTCTCTAGATAATTTAAGATTCATTTGTCAACTTACTTGATCTTGTTTTACAAGCAGCAAAACCAGAAAGATTGAAAAAAATTATAAACCAGATAAAAGTGGGGAAACAAAATGTTTTATCTTAACAGGCTTATAAATGGGTTAGCCCAGCAGTGGATCATCTAAAACCAACCTACCTACTAGAAGGAGTAACTGCTGAGTAATGGACTCCATCCAGTGGGGTGCACATCCTCTCCTGGTCAGCTTGAGTGCCATGTGCTGGCTGGCTAGGAACTGGGGGAACTCCCCCTTCTTTGCCTGGACCAATCAACTGAGATAGAGAGGAACAACTTAGAGAGCTTGAAATCAACACCACGTGCAATACGAAGCAGATTCCATCATACTGGCCATAACTTGTGCGAGTTTTGGCACAAGAMTGGGCTCTAGCCCCTAGAAAGCTGAGAGAGATGTCATGTAGAAGTGGACTAACGCAATATTTCCTTCCTACTCTACTCCACTTCAGGCCTGTTGTACACTGCAGGGTTCTCTGGCTGTAGGTCCTCTGCTTCAAGGGGAGGAATGTAGGAAAAAAAAATTATATCCTCTTGCTACAACCCCATGGCTCACTACAGCTTTCTGAGAAGGAGAAGTGGAGAGGGAGGTGCTGATTTCTTTGCCCAGGGATGCAGTGATAGGATGCATGGAAGTGGTTTGAAGTTGCACCAGGGCAGGCTTAGATTGGACATTAGGAAGCATTTCTTTACAGAGAGGGTGCTCAAACACTGGAACAGGCTTCCTAGAGAGTTGGCCCRTGCCCCAAGCTGTCAGTTTTTGAGAGGCATTTGGACAATGCCTTAATACCAGGCTTTAGCTAGGTCAGCCATGAACTGGTCAGGCAGTTGGACTAGATGCTCATTGTAGGACCATTCCAATTGAAATTATTCTATTCTATCAACATCGTGTCAGCAAAACTCTGGTGTAACACCAACGGCACAGGCAGAAAAGGACTTCTGTTAACTTTGCTTATTCGTCTGATAAACCAATATAACTATGTCAGTATGAACTGTAAGTGTATCTTATGCCTAGCCTACAGARCTGTGCATGGACAGCTCCAGAGTTGGAAGCTCTGTAAGACAGGAAGAGTTTGGAATCAGTGATAAGCTGGTGCAGGCAAACTGGTGTGGTGCCTRCTCTCTTGGTGTAGTTTTTCCACATGACTCCTACCCCAGTAAAGTCAGGGATGCTGAGGAGCCAATTCCCAGCTCCTGTGGAAATTTTGCTTTCTCTGTATCTACATWTCTTTTCATTGATGACAGACAGGATACCAATGCATGCACTAGTTTCAGTGCCTCTCTCGGGTGTACAAGTGACACAAATGGCTGCAACACCAGCCACGCTGGTTCTACTCTCTACAAGTACCTGGTGAGGGTGTGCAGCATTCAAGCCACCAGCAAAGAGTACAGGATACCCCATGTCAGCTGATCCAACTCCCAGGGCAGCAGGCTGATAGGAAAGACGAGAGCTGGAAAGCTAAGAAAGAAGAGAAAAAACAAGAAGGGCAAAGGGAGAGGAGAGAGGAAATGGAAGGGGAATGCCCCACAGTCTTAATAATCACCAGTCACCAAAGAAGGAACAGAGTCAGAAGCACAGCATTTCAAGCTGGCAGAATGCTCGCTTCATTGGAATCAATAATGAAAGCTACTGCTCAAAGAAGTTCTTATTGCTATAAAGGCTACTTGATAGTAGTTCAGGGGACTAAGTCTGAGCCTTGACAGGAAAATAAGATTGGCTTCCTACACATGTAGGAGGAGGCTGTGCAAGGTATGACTGACATCAAGTCACAGGGAAGCTCTGCTGTACAGGTCTGTTTCAAATACTGGTGTCRTGGATTGACACTGGCCAGATGCAAGTGTATCATCATAAACTTACTGAAGAGCTAAAACTTAAWATTTTTTTTCATCCCAAAACAACTACATTATCAGCTGTTTGAACCTAATCCCATTGCAAATTAGAACAGCTGATCTTCCAGACATATTCAAATAGCTTTAGTGAAAAAAATACAGGTCCCTAAATGTGCAAAGTAAAGAGAATTGGTAAGCTGGCCCTTGTGAGATTGCTTTAGGAACTACGTGTTGGAAGCAGCGAAACCCAGGAGAAATTCCTTACACATCCCAGGTAGAAATCTACCCAGTCAGGGTAAATAAAACTTTCCTGTTCTAGCTTGCCTGACCCCAAGAGGAACATTTCTTCCAGAGCTCAGTGTCAGCTCCAGCAGCACTGAGGTTGATGTACAGGGATCAAAATGAGGAACAGCACTTTCATTCACATGAGGCTAGTTAAGCTGAGTGGAGCACTATAGACTGTACAGGTTCTAGGGACAGTGGCTGTTAACAGAAAACACTCAGAATTGTGCCTTACTAYTTGTGTTTTTCACTAACAATCCTTGACTGCTGTGGTGTTTTCAGGCGTGCTTCTCCTGTCTTTGAGAGACCTTTATCTGCAATGCCATTTAAGAAGCCAGTCTCAGTAAAGTGCCTGGCCCATTGTGGGTCCACCAGTCTTTCCCATGCACAACAAAATTCCACATTGTCAAATTTATACTTTGGTTTATTTATTTAGTCATGCCAGAACTCAAATTCTGGCCACGTAGAACATATTCTATTGACAACTCACTTGATGTGAAAAGGCCAGTCCCATCACTGGGACCTTCAAGGTGTCCGTCACCACAGGAGGAGGGGTCTGAAAATGTGCCTTTGTGACAGTAAAAACACACTGTGCACAGACACACACAAACAGAGGAAACAAGGAAAAGAGAGAGAATGAGGAGAGAGAGAGAAAGAGAGAGAGAAGGACTTCAGAGAGGTATTATGAAGAGTTGGATGAACTGAATGCTAGTGAAGAGGTTTTGGCTGCAGTAGCCACACCTACACAGAGAGCAGAAGTCTCAGTATTGCCAGAAACACATTCATTTTGTAAAGAATTGTTTTCCAATTGAGTGAACCACTGAACACAAATAATATTTTAGACTCCAGTGAACCCTGACAGAAAGTAACTTCCAGAGACTGTTCCACAGTTAATTACAATTGGTTCCAGCCAATTAGCAAGGAGAAGGCTGAGCAGATGCCAGAAAAAACCAAGTACTTTTGTTTTTTGAATTTACTTGTATTTCAACACTCTCCATCCATCCATATCCTTATCCTCCAGCTTTCTGAGGTATCCTATCTTGGCAGGTCTGTGCTGCACCCATACAATAAAGGGGACTCAGACTACGGTGCATTTCAAACACACTGATGTGAAAAGAGAACTCCATCAACAGGAGCAAAGCTCCAGAAGCAAACAGTCTCACAGAGGGTGCTAATGCAAAAAGGGCAATCCACACCCAGGTCAGTCCCATACCTCCTCCCAGTCATTTTCCTACCAGTGGTTTTCACTTTGAAGAAAGTGTCAGCTTCATTTCTGGGTATTACTCATGGCCAGACTCTACTGAATTTTGGGCTGCTTCACAACACACATACAGAGACATGCTATGCAAGCTCACAGAGAAGTTAACAACCAGTTCCTTGTATCACATAGGTTAGGCCTCACTTCTACTGTGAAGGGAGGCAGAGATTTGAACYGTTTGTCCACAAAATCAGACAGTTCATAGTATTTTCCTGGTCATTAAGCTAGACAGGACATACAGAAAGCTGGAGAAAAAAAAATTAACTTACTTTTTCACTTTTACTTTAAAGTTTACTTTAAAGTAATTAAAATTTACTTTAAAGTTTACTCTGCCAAGATAGCCTTACAGTTCTAACTGTGGTAACAAAGATTGGCAGTTGCTTTACAAAGAAGGGCACAGCATACGGCAGCTAAGAGCCACAGAAAAAGCAAGAATGTAGGCTCATACTTAATATAAATCCTCAAGGGTCAAGTGGTTTCATAAAGCTTTTCCCCCCTCAATGACAGTAAAGCTTCATGACCCCTGGGGAAATGTCAACTTCAATGTAGTTACATACACTACTACCATTAGGTAACAGTGGCGCAAGCAAGCCAGTGGAAATTTCCTAATGAAATCTTTTTGTATTTATCCCACTTTAGGAAAACACAGGACACAACTCAGCCACAAGCTCATTTCCTGAACAGTGTATTGCAGAATAAGAAAAGCTTTATTCCATCAGGCTTACCGTGAGTTCTGCCTAATTAGTTCAACATTGCCTGATGCCCTGTTAGCTGAAATCACTTTGGCACAAAAATGCTTCCTAAGAGAAGCTAATTTCTASCTCAATCATACAGCAGAATACATTCTGCTGAACCAGGCAAATTAATTCGTCTGAAGCAGCAGAAAGACCCACAGCAAATTCTTTTAGTTCGGAACATTGTTCCAATCATACTTCATTCTATGTTTCACATTGACGGCAAAAGAGATTTAGAGTCTTTATATTGTCTTTAAATGTCAGTAGAGCCAACTGCTTGACAAGAAGGCAGTGGCTTGACAAGAAGGCAGGGCAATCCTAAACATTTAAGGTGATAGGACAACTGCAACTCTGGCCCAGTCTTCAAAATACCAAACTGGGGAGTCAGATACATAAGACAGTAAAAGAACTAAGGAGTTTCTGGGTTTTGATATTCAAAAGGAAACCATTCGCTATTTCTTTTAAAATTGAAACTTAAATGAAATTTGCAAGTGCAATTTTTTGCTGATACTTATTCCTGCTGCTCCAATTAATTTTAGATGGTCCAGCAAATACAGCTTTTGTCTTTTTTCTTTCTCCAGCATTTTCCTGGTACAACACTGAAATGTGTTTCTTTCTCAGTGTCAGTCTGTTACCCCTACTTAGGCTGCCTGACATCAATATCCTGAATTCCACCTCTTGCAGTAAGGGGTGTAAGTACACCACTATCGTCTTCATGCACACCTCAGCCCAGCTACAGGAGTAGGCTCTTTTAATTGTTCTCAGTAATTCTGCCTTTCTAGTCCCCTGGAATTTTGTTTAAATTAGTATGTAATTTCAATAGATTTTACTCATAGTGTAATAACATAAATAATCCACCCATTAAATTTTAGTTAGCAACAGGAGTATTCCTGTTTGCGCAGTAGCTGATGTAGGAATATGCACACTATTCTTACAGCAACTGTTCTACCTAGAAGTAAAAGGAGCCTGGTTTCTCTTACCTGAGATGGAGGAGATGTGGAAAAAGATGTGGTACACACTTCTTGGGAATCTTCTACTGAGGGGTATACTGCACCACTGTCCTCACCAGCTCTAAAGCAGCAAGAAAAGACAAGTTTTCTAACTGGAAAYATTCCTTAAAACAAACAAATAGTAAAACATGCTGGGACAAACACTGCAGGGAGATTGAGAGTATTTGGGTGTAGCTGAAAGGAAAATAATGAAGGGCTCTCATCTTCTTGAAGGAATTTAGGAAAATAAAGTGGGAAAACATCAGTTTTCCTCAGGTGTTTGTCTTCTACCCCATGTAAAATAACAGGGGTATTTCTAACTAATGCTTTTGTTATACCAGCTAGTGCTACTGGCTTTGGTATTTACCAAACCACTCGTCCCAATCTGAATCCATCACACTCCTTTTAGTGAAGACAAACCTCTCATCTACAAAGAAAAATTAAACTGATCTTCCCCCAGTGGAAATATCCAGGGATGCATGCATGTGGACACGTAGTTCTGCATCAGGATTAACCATTACATTTTAAAATTCCTGAAGGCAGTCAAAATTAAAAATCATTTGTGTCCAAGTGCTTCTGTGAAGAATTTGGGAAAATACTGGGGCTTGCTGCACTCAGTCTTAATGTGAGGAGAAAAATGTCACCCTTCATCAGATGCTCAACTATGTAAATATGACTGACACTAATTCTCCAGTGTCCCTTCCCATGCAGTCAACAAATAGTGGAAAAGGCTCTGTATTTGGGCATAATTGATGCCTTTACCATGGCCCATGACTTCAACTCATTATTTCCTCACCTGTAATTGCAGGGATGCATGGGTGAAGAGCTGGGATAGGGACGGTCCACAAAGTGATCAATTATAATCCCCATGATAGGAGGGGTCCTCTCAAACTGTCTGCAAGGCAACAAGCAATGGCGTTATTGGCTTTTTCTCTCTASTCTTCCCAATTCATGGTGCCCTCACAGAAAACCCTTGTATCTATTAAKGGGACCAGAGCACCTTTATAATTTAGTCCTGTGACTCCAGGCATGCATCAACAATTTGGAGTTCTACAGCCTGGCTACCCAAATACTCCCCTTGCTGCAAAGTTTAAGCGTAAGAGAGAGTGTTCCTCATGGAAAAGAATCTCAGCAGGGAAGGAYAAGCAGAAGGGAAAGATTTGGAAGCTCACATTATAAGGGGTTTAACAGTAAATTACTGTAAAACAATTCTGGCATGATCACATTTTCTCACCTGGTTGACATGAAAGCAAGGTTGATTCTGTAGGCACAAGACAAAGTGATGGTGCCCACCGGAGTACCCACTGTCCCAACACGGACTGTCTGGAAACCTGTAAAGTTAAGGAATAATAATTATTATTATTTCACTGATTATTTATGTGCCATACTTTCTTATTCTGAGGTTACATTATAGTATTTCAACAATGTTTCCACTGTCTCTTGCAGTCAAAACTCCAAAACCACACAGAACCCATAAAAACAACCCCAAGCACTAGGCTGCCTTGCTGTCAGGCTTCACCTACAAGTCTTCTGAAGGTGCTTCCTATCTTGGTCTAAAATACTGTTCTGAAGTGCTTCTTGTTCCTCAGTAGATCAGGATCTCCTTTACCAGTTCTGCCCCTCATCAACATAATTCCATATTCTTATTTCAATTCTGAATCACCAGAGTCAAAATGGTTATCACCCTGGATTTTGTCCAAGTACCATTGTTATAYTTGTCACCTTGTGACACAAAGCTTCACTGGCAGACCCACAGAGAACATAAATAAGCCTCAGACTAGTTTTCCTGTTGGTACTTGAGAATAGTAATTAAAGGCTAGTCAGAATGAAACACAGTTCTGTTCTAATTTGTCTGTTGGCTAATCGTACCTTCTCCCAAGCCACTCAGTTGCACTTCACCAAAATATATCCTGAAGGAAAAGGAAAAAGAAAAGCTGTTAGGCAGTTRGGACATAATGCTATACGGATCTGTATTCCTTATTTAATTTTGTGAGTTGAAAGGCTGGAACTACTTTTCCGCTTCAGGAAAAAAAGCCCAAAATAAATGGGCTTTTTGAGAATGCCCATCTCAAAAAAACTYTAAGCTACTTCAGAGAAAGACACGTCATGTAAAAAGAAAGAGGAAAGGGAAATGATAGTCCAATCAGAAACTTGTCTAAGTTTTTTAAGCCTCAGTGGTAAGTCTACATACAGTTCATAGGAAAAATGTCAAGTGGTGTAAACTTCACAGACAAATCCGAGTCTAAAAGCTGATGCTTATCACTTAACATAAAAGATTAACTGTGCTGTAAAGAGCCCTGCTCTWAAGTACATGACAAGTCAGCAATGCACACAAAAATTATAAAATGGCTGGAATTTCTTTTGAAGTTCTTAGCTGTGCAAATGATAACAAACCTGGGATTTACAATCATACAAATTAGCTATGCAAACATGTCAAAGTCTTTTCTTACAGCCAAAAACAAGGTCTGAAAAATAGTAACTACAAACCACAAGCCAGGGCGACTCACAGAATAAACAGAGCTGAACCCAGTATTTGGRTGAGTAAACTGCAGGGACTACAGGAAGTGGAGCCAAAGATGCATCTTTATAGTGGAGTAACAGGACAGAGTCTGAATCTGTTCTCCAAAAAACACATCGCAGTTATGTGCAATGTAGAGAGGCGTTTATCAAATACAGGTCAGATATCAAACAACTGGATGCTAGTAAGCAATTTAACCAGAGATTAAAAAAAAATTTTTTTTTTACTTTTCCCACCATGGTAGGCAAACACTTCACAGCCTGTGCTGGGCTTTTCTTTTGATGCTTGAACCACATTTGCAGCTACACAGTGCAAGTCTAGGGTCTCTGATGTTGGCATTGTAAATGGGAAATTTCTGCTTTACCTGTACAATATTACATATTCATGTCCTTGTTTCCTTGAGAGTCTGTAGGCTGGAGTTACCCTGGTTATAGCAAGCAAAGACTTCAGCAGTAGAGACAGCCTGTTGTATACAGTGTAGGAAACTTTGATTTCYTTATCACACCTAGAGAACACAAAGGAAAAAAATTAGTGTTTTGTTCAAACTAAGCTGGCTGGGTTTGGGGTTTTTGTTTGGTTGTGTTTTGTTTATTTTATTTTAAATAAAAATTAGCGTGGGACAGTTATTTAATTTTATTGCCAAAATGATAAAATAAAGCCCCAGTGTGGCCACCTGTACTGACCAACCAGCTAAGAGTCCTGTTTCAACCTAGTCACCTGCTGTAGATGAAATTGCTGAAAAATGCCATGCAGCCTTCTACTACACAGAGACATCTTTTCAATACTAAAAAATKTCATTTCTGAGATTATGAATTCTTGTATCTGAGGAAACATACCAGATGTAATAATGAACAAGGAATTAAATTACTAATTTACTTTATTGACACTGGTATTACACAGTTTGACTGCTGCTCTAGACAAAGAGGTGCCCCTGGCCACACAACCAATATGTGCTCATTGATCACCATGGATTAACCACATGTACCCATTTCATCAGCTAAAAATTACAAACACAAAGAATGTGTCAAGAGTGCACTTACTTTTCATTCATTTCTAGACACCAAATTTCCAACTCCATGGAGTCCCCCTGGATCAGAGAAAAGATGGCAAAGGCTCATTTCAGAACACAGACCTTTTCAAATCTCATTAGTGATCAGCAATGGCCACACCTCTCAGTGATTTGTCTCCTGGCTCCCACTTTCTTGCAATGCAATGATAGGAAAAGGTGTACTGGAAGTCTCACTGCACAATTATATCACCTGAGGGAATATCTTCCTCAGAATGCCTAAGTTCTTCATGGTCTAAGAAAGTAAATTTTTCTGCTCTGTCATTTGTTTGTTTGGCCTCAGATGTTTGCAGTGAATTGCTTCTGTTAAACAATATTTCATTAGCATATCAGCTAACTTACTAAAATTTAGGTATTCTTACATGATCTTGGACTAAAGGGCAGGAGCTCTGGTAGTTGACTTAAGATTCAAGTGAAAAAAAMCACAAACAAAAAGAAAGGGCATCTGTTTTGACTCAGTTCTCACCTCTGAGGTTTTGAGAGAAATTTCCACGCACATAGACCGTCCAACAGCGGGCAGCTGTCCTGCCAGGGCTTTCTTTGCTTCATGAGTAACCTCTGGTATATCTTTGATTGCCAGATTGAACTGCAGAATCAAAGAGATGGTTCAATTTTTTAATTTTCTTTGAAAAACTGTCTAATGGTACACTTCAGACAGGCTCACAGACCCATATATAACATACTAGGTCAGTGTCCACTGAAATATTTATGAAACAGAAAATTCCCAGCTGGGTTCAGCCTTTTCATATTTACAAAGATTCCCCTGGCTGCTAATTCAAATGTTTTTCTTGATCCTGCTATAAAAAATATGCTCCTTTTCCCCCACTGCAGTCCTATCTTCACCCACAGAGTATCTCGAGCCTTTTCAATTTTAATAAAGCCCATTACTAAAAAGACCTGAATTGCAGAGTARCAAACTTCTGACAGGAAAGAACTCATCACCCCACCCCCAAGCAGATCTTGGAAATGTGCCTCAGCTGGCAGGAGTTGCCAAGAGGCATAATTTCTCTTCTCCTTCATCTGCCTGTAAGAGTCTACAGTGATTTGTTGCATGTGAACAACCACCAAGAAAACCCCCACATCACCAATGAACATAACTAAATATAGTTGCTATTCTATGAATAATTATTATTGTCTGCACAAGACTTTAACAATCACATGGTGCCCTCACCACACACACACACACACACACACACACACACACACACAGAGTAATGGAGATGCTTAAAAAAAGATGATTTTACCCAGTCAGAACCTGTTGGGGAGGATGATGATCGGGTACAGATCTTCTCTCCAAGTCGGGCCTGGACAATTACTTGTACTGTCTGGAATAGAAAGAAAAAGATACACGACAATATTTTGGGCTCAGCACAGCCCTCAGTTCAGAGCCTGAGCTACACATGTTCCAAGTGAAAAAAAAAATGAAAGGGCTGATCAGGATGTAGAAAAGTAGTTTGCTATACTGCTCTTCAAGTCTAATCAATTTAAATTATTACATTTAACAGGCAAATGTATTTCAGAGAGAAAATCATTTTAGRCTGACCTTTATCGTAACAATATTAAATGACTAAGTCAATTTTGCAATCAGGATTTTCAGTTTTCACTACTACTGAAAAATTTACAAAAATATCCTGAGCCTGGACAACTAAAMTGAAGTCAAATGAATSTGTACATTTAYACCAAAGCTACTGCCAGAGTATCTACTTGCACCTATGTACCAAGTGAGACCAAATTTTATAATAACTTATCAATATAATTTAAAAGAACATTATGGTATTTTTTGTTTTGGATACAATGTAAAAATTTAGACAGGCTGAAAGAGGAGTCCAGCAGAACAAACTACCCAACAGCTGGATGGTTACATGTGCTGCTTAGAAACCTGACAGATGTGTGAAGTGTCTACAACTGATTCTAAAGCAGAACACTTCTGGAGGGTGGAAGAAGATTAGAGGGTAGAAAAAAGAGGAAAAGATGTTTTTCTAGTTGCTCTCAGGAATCTCCTAAATTTGACATCAGTTTTTCTTACTTCATTCTTCAGCAAAACAAAAAAAAAACAARCCCATACCCCAATCTTGTTACTCTAGCCACACCAAGTATGTTGTTTGTTTTCTGGGTTTCTTTAAACAAGAAGGAAGAGCCATTTGTCCAAAGGAGAAAAATTACCTTTAAAGCAAAAAATTTGATGAACTTGTCCAGGTCCTTCCTGTCCTGGGAACTGAGATCAGTGTCCATTGCATATGGCAATCTGAAATATAGCACAGGTCTGGGAATGAAGTCTTCGTTCAGCTTTCTGTTTAGATTTCAAAATATTTTGCCATTAGAGGCCACCGCAGAAGAACTTGTAAGCACCAAAGCCCTCTACCTGTCCAAATCCTAACATGCTAAAAACTTTGGGATGTGAGTGTGGGGTGTAAATGCACACTGATAGTTTATCTGGTCACTGCAAAGATAAAAAACATTTTAAAAAAAAGAGGTCTCACAATTAAAACTCAGTGCAAGTTCTACGATTTTGCTAGCTAAATTTTAAAAAGCAAAACAAAAAAGAATCAACCCAGAATACCCCAACACCACACTGAGTGGATTCTATGCCAAGCTAACCATCAGACATGGAGGTCTCTGCTTCAAAAATAATGTATCTTCAGCTATCAGTAACCAAGCCAAATTGTTTTCTTGAGCCTGAAATACTTAAAACAGTCATTCAGTGGTGTTTCAGCAGAAATCTGTACAATAAAGCATTGCTGGAACAATCTACACTGCTTTTTYACTTTCAACACACAGTACTTGAACTGAAACTATACAGCTGCAAATTTGCCTACAACCAACTGGAAAAACTCAATTTTACCAAGAAAGAGAGCAAAATCCTTTATTSACTTCTCTTGAAAGCTCTGATAATGAATACTTAGCTTTCACATTGACACTGCYTTGTTTTTCAAAATGCAGTTGTTTCTGGGAACACAATGAACTTGTACAGTGTCAGAAACAGGGCAGGGCACGACACTAATCCGATTTCTGCCACCATCACGTCACATGGCCTGGGATAAATCACAATTCTTCTGTCTCTGTTCCTTCACACGTACATTAATAATCATATAGAGACCGTGGGGAGGAACGCCTTAATTAGCAGCATTCACTGTGCTTTTTGCTCATAAGTCTTCAAAGCATTAATTCACTCTTAATTCCTGTTGCAGTTTTGAGCCAGCTAATCAGCCTGAAGCAGCTTGCCAGACACGCTGTATTTATGGAACGTGCTGCTCCTCACAGGAATGCCGGYGAGCTGAGGTCAGGGAGCACAGCCAGCTGTTGTACACCTTACTCAGTGTTCAATCGTTAAGCAAAGACTGAACTTACAGCAAAGTTTGCTATTTACACAAATAGAGGCGTGCAGGGCAAAAGGACCAATAGCCCTATTCACTCACAAAGTACAGTATCTTTAATGATCATGCACATGCAGTACTTTTTTAAATAAAATCACACTTGATGACAGTAACAGCTCATGCTTTAGGAGCATCGATCAAAAACAGCTGTGAGRTAAGAGTACTGCAATTTACAGAGCATTTTACTGAGAACAGTACTGCTTTCCGAATGACTCTATAAAAAAGAAAGATGGACATATAATATGGTTGAAAGTTCCTAGGCTACATTCCTGCTGCATCTCCTTGTGCTGTACTGTTCTCATGACAAATTATAATTTAAATTGAGAACTAACAACACAAGTGATTCAGCATCAGATGCATTATCAAATTATCCTTTGGATATTTTAACCTTGTCATCAAAACTGTTATTCTTACTTTTCCTGCATTTACCTCCACTAGACTGAGATTACAAACCTCTTCCACTGTGGGGCTCTAAAAGGCATTTAAAGTGCTAGATGGTTAACTGATGCAGCACTCTAAATTAAAAAACAACACCCCTTTAGTACATATACCACTACAAAAAATAGCCACCACTCCCTCCCAAACAAAGAAAAAACAGGAAAGAATGTGTTATTTTTCTTTTTAATTAACAAAGTAAAGCACTGTAAGGGTTTAAGAGATCTGAGCTATTTGACAAACCTGGCAATAAAATACTGCATTAAAAAATACATTTTTCTCATCAAAGAGAATGCTGATATTTAAATACTAAAAAAAAAACCAACCAAACAAACAAACAAATCACACTAGCTTTTAATGTGGAAAGAGAGATGTGACYCCTGGAAAAAGATGGAAGGAAGTATATATCCTGATATTGTGCGAGATCTGTCAAATAAAGCGCACACATTAGCCTTATGAGGCTGGAAAAAAATTCTGSTATCAACTCAAGACACTTGGGAACTAATGGAAGGTGTTAGGCTCATTGGTCTGTTAGGAAAGGAAACAAAGATATCATCAGCATGGTTCCATGTGCAGTGCAGAAATTAGTTTTAACAACCAGATACCCAAATATCTCTAGAGGAAACAGCCACAAGAGGGTTAAAAAAATGACAGCCTCGTGGTTCTGCYCTGTTGCAGCAGAACTGGGACTTTTCCTGCAAGATCGCAAACRATCTTTATCATTCATTAAACATTTGGAGATTCACTGTTAGTTCTCAAGCTCCAAATGCCAGCAACACTTGACCCACCAGAGCCTGGTGTAGAGCAGAAAGTATCAGGCAAGGTTTCCTGGAGAGGAATAAGTAATTTCATGGAGAAAGTGGGACTTTGGAACTCAGCTCCTGAAATGTCTAAGAGCTTCTCATCTGACAACCATCATCTGCTCATTATTGTAGAACRGCCTCTGGTGATTGCCCAAGACCTGCTAAGGCTCAGAACAAYGTTCACCTTTAAAATCAGTCTGATAAGAGTTAAGATGGAGCTAGAATTACAGCAAACTTTCTATTCATAAAAATTCWTTGGCAGTCTCAAGTTAGCTGCCAYAGCTGACCTGAACAGAAATGAAATTCTTTAAACTTAGTTCCACCAAATTCACTCAACTTCTCATATCCTGTAGGTTGCAATGCCAGCACGGCTCCTTTTTAAGTGCTACTGCACAGGCATATGCTTAACTCAAGGAAAACACTGGCTCATTTTACACTGAATAGCAACTAGAAGGAAATAACCTTTGGTCTAGGTTAGAAAAATACGGATGACCGAYTTCCCCTCAACCAGGTAATCCCTTAAGTAAACTGATATATCTGCCAGCGTATGATGCAACAAGCATCTTGCCCATATGGCTTGTTGCTTTGTCACCCTCTTCCTGCAACACACATTTTTATACCATTSTTTTTATTTATATGCATTTATCTTTACTTTGCTGTGAACAGAAAYATCAGAAACAGGATGGTCAAAGGAGAACTGCTAGAAGTGACTGTTTTGAATAAATCCTTATTCCTTCACAAAAGGTTGCAGCAGAATTTATCCAACAATTTAACATCTAAGTGTTGTGTCTTATACACTGTACTGCTATTTATATCCTCCTTGTCCGAGGAGAAGGACGCATCAGCATGAGGTGATGGCGCTGTTTGCATGATGGAACGAGATGCAAGAACCCTCCCATTCATCCCTCGGCAGAGGCSGGAGGAACTACAGCGCCCCGCACTCGCACCCAGAGCAGCCCCGCTGCTGGCAGACACCTGTAAGCTTGAACATAACACAACAGGTGAACACCGGCACTACAGGACACGTTCCACACATGGGAGTTTAGCGAGCACATCTCTCTGACACCTACATAAACAGGAAAGGAGCAGAAGCACCTGACACATACCAGGCATTATTACTGCTGCTGGGGAAAGCATATACAGGCTGCTTCCATCATCTCCTGCATTTCTCTCTGAGCCATGGCTGCTACAACTTAAAGTCATCTTGCTTTCCTTTCAACAGACATTCACCAATGCAAAGTAATTACTCACAGCTCTTATCCCAAAGTGAAATTAMAAAGACAAGAAGGAGGAAATGACAATGCATATTGCTGTAAAGAGAGGGCTGTGGACAGCTCTCATCCCAGATGTTTGTTCCCAGTTACCGGRCTGTGCCCCCCACACTGCGCTCCTTGCCCATACCACTCTTCCAGAACTTCTTTGTTAGTACAGGACCCAAATCCAATCTCCAAGGGTTTCCTCTGAGAAGCTCAGAAAAGCCTCATTGAATCATGCAGTAAACAAGAAGCACATGGAATTTTTTGAAGCTTTTAACAGAGTGCCTAGAACACATCTCCCCTTCAATAACCAAGCTTCACTGCAAGCAGGTATTTGGAGCACACTAATAAGCAACTATAAAAAGATCTTAATAAACATAGTGCTCTGTTTCAAGACTGGGCCTACAAGTCAAACTCCAGTATCCTACAATTACTTAAAATTAATCTCCATTTTGCCTTCTTAGTAGGTTAGTCAGAAACCTAAGGAGAGGTAGGAAAAGTTCTAAGGTGTGACACTTCATTCTTTAAAGTCTATGGATTTTTTTAAAAGAGGGGATTAAATTCTATCAGAAAAAGTGYTTCACATAATTCACATAAWTCTATCAGAAAAAGTRTTTCACAAACATTCTGATGTAATCAAAGGCTCTGTAGTTCACTATATGCTCAGGTTTTGAGTGATAAAGAGGTAATTTTTTCTCCTGATAAGGAAACAGATTCACTTCATAATCAATAAATGACTCTGCAGCTCAGTAAATATCTTACTGATGTCAGCACTGACAGATCCATTGACTTAGAAATGAAATTAAGTAATTCCTGTTGACCAGCAGTTACATTCTGTACTTCCCTAAGGTCTAAAAATGGTATCAGTTCAAAGGTCCATCCTCTCAGTTTGTTTGTCARGCCAAAGTATACAGACTAAACCAGAATCTGCTTCTACATACCCTGTACTATAACCACTAACATAATCACCGCCTCTCWACTTTTGTATGAACATGTGTTCAGAAATGTTAAAATTATACAATACAATTTAAGCAAAATAAAGTGATCTGGTATGATCTTTTTGCACATCTACATATAGCCTGGCTCATCTGAAACTTATTTCTTGCCATGAGAAGAAGGGGTCCTCCAGGTAAGGCCATTCCTGCAATAATTTGGAGATGCTCTAAACYTTATTTGGACAGCCAACTAATTTTCAGCTAAGGCGGTAATTTGCCATGTTTTTCTCCCTTGGTATGTGCCTAGTCACACCATTTTTGGGATCTGTGAATAGGCAGTTTTGTAGACTTAGCCCAAAGAGTCCCTTTTCTACCTGTTCACTGACATGAAAGGTGTCACTGCTCCCACCGAGTCCACGGCAATGACTGACTGTGCCCTAAAGAGTCACAGCTCCAACAGCAAAGAAAGATGTGACCACCTGTAAACCTCTGCTCTTTCCCAGAATACCACAAACTCGCATGTTACAGAAAAATACACARTGGAACGCGGGGTCTCACGTTCTACTATTTTCAACAGGCTCTGAAGCATTTTGATTTTAAAAGGCCACTTGCTGAGATTACAGCGGGCCACATCCTTCCCAGGCTTCACTGACAGCCACCAGTCGTTACGCAAACGAATCGCAGCCGACACGCGGCCGTGGGGAACCGACCCCCGAAAGCAGCGAAGCAAAGTAAAACGGAGGAAAAAGCCGTAGCCAAAGGCTCAAGACGCACATCGCGGCCCCCTCCCCTGGAAGGGCCCCCTCCCCTGGAAGGGCCTCCCGCAGGCTGGCGGCGCTCCGTGCCCTCCCCCGCGGGGCCCGCGGTACCTGCGCGGGGCCGGCAGTGCTGGCGGCGCGGCGGCTCATCCCGCGCAGGGCCCGCTCCGCCGCCGCGCCCCGGCGCCTCCTCCGCGCTCCGACCGGCCACGGGGGGAGCCCCACGGCCCCGGGACCGCGACCGCCGCCTCCAAGCACCGAGACCGCCCCGGGGCTCCGGCCGGCGTCCTTCCTCCTCCTCGTTCYCAGCCCCGGGGTCTCTCCGCGAATGTAAGCGCCGGCGGGGGTGCGCGGCCAGCGGCGGGGGCCGGGCCGGGGCTGCCGCTGCCCTCAAAGCCGCGGGCTGCGCCGCGCCGCCATCGCCGTCGCCATCGCCGCTGTTTGTTTTCATCCGCTGCGGGCGGGGGGGGAAGGAAGGAAGGAGGAAGGGAGGGAGGGAAGAAGGGAGGTGCCTTGCTGTCCGCAGCGGCACTTTCCGCACGCAGCCGCCGCTCCCCGCCCGCCCGCGGCGCGCTGAGCTGGCGGTGCGGCGCGGGAGGAGGGCGCCGAGGCCCAGAAAAGCGGCGCAGCGCCCAGCACCGTTCCCGCCGGTAGCCCCTGCCTGTGGCGAATCTACCGCGGCGAATGCGGGGCTCAGCCAGCCCGGACCGCTTTGGAGCCGTGGCGGGGCCTGTAAGGGCTGGGCTGAGCCCGGTGAGGGTCGGGCGGCCCGTGGGGTCCCGGGTGCCCGGCAAGGGCAGCGCCCGTCAGGGCTGCGAGACCGCTCCACGGGCTGTCCGCGGCTTGTGTCTGCCGTGCTCCGGCGGCGCTGACTGCGGACGGCTCCAGCTCCCTCCTCGCCACGGGAGGTAAACTCCTGTCAGCACCAGGCAGAGTTGTCGGCTCCGCGGAGAGCCCRCCTGCTGCCCGTGTATTTAAAAGCGGATGAAAGGAAGTGAAAAGATTTGCTGGATGACCAGAGTAGAAGGAAAATGGTAACGGAGTSTGAAAAGCTCACCAGTAACAACTGTTCTGAGCGTCCGTCCCCTTTCTGCTCTATGCAGGTGAAGGCTCTGGGAAAGCCCTGTCAGAGAGGAGCCCCAGGGGACACCCCCGGCCGTCAGCCATGGCCGTACCTATCGCGGTTCTTGACTGCGACCTCTTGCTCTATGGCCGCGGACACAGGACTTTGGATCGCTTCAAGCTGGAGGATGTCACGGATGAGTATCTAGTATCCACGTACGGCTTTCCCCGACAGTTCATTTACTACCTGGTGGATCTCCTGGGAGCCACGCTCTCACGCCCTACACAGCGGTCCAGGGCCATCAGTCCAGAGACGCAGATACTTGCTGCCTTGGGTTTCTATACCTCTGGCTCCTTCCAGACTCGCATGGGAGATGCTATCGGCATTAGCCAAGCCTCGATGAGCCGCTGCGTTGCCAATGTAACCGAGGCACTGGTGGAAAGAGCCTCACAGTTCATTCACTTTCCTGAGGATGAAGCTACTGTACAGACCCTGAAGGATGACTTTTATGGGCTGGCAGGAATGCCGGGAGTGCTGGGGGTGGTTGACTGCACACACGTGGCAATCAAAGCGCCAAATGCTGAGGACCTGTCATATGTGAACCGAAAGGGTCTCCATTCCCTAAACTGCCTGATGGTGTGTGATTCCAGAGGAGTCCTCCTTAGTGCAGAAACGCATTGGCCAGGCAGCCTGCCTGACTGCACGGTGTTAGAGCAGGCAGCTCTCACGAGCCAGTTTGAAAGTGAGCTACATAAAGATGGCTGGCTGCTTGGTAAGTCAGTTTTTCGTCCTTGTTTTCAGTATAAAGTCTATTATATATTTTCTCCTTACTGAATCAGAACCTCTAGGCACAAGTGATATGCTTATTTTCAATTGCTTTCTTGCGAATTGCTTTGAGAATTTGTGATTCAGTTTGGACAACCTGTATCTTGGAAGCTTAGAACAGTAACTTCTAATCTGTGTTTTATACAGTCTGATTATTGCATATATTAATCTACATTTATCCTGTTAATAGCTTTCTTTCAGTATCCTACACCTTTTCATGCTAAATTAAGCAATTTTTAATTCCAGGTGCTGTCCTAGTCCAGCTGTTTTTCCCTGTTTTATGCAGGGAAAAAAATTCTTCTGTGGAAAATCTTCCAGGGTTTCCTTGTGTAAAGCTGAATGCCTTTATCACATTTGTAAACCAGAGTTCCTTCTTACCTGCCTTCTCTTTTGGCCAGAGGAAGAAGTTATTCCATATCTGCTGTACCAGAAAACTAAGCTGAAATCTGTGGCTAACTGTAGGTGTGTAACSTGTCCTGCTCCTTTCCACTGCTAACAGGTGACAGCTCCTTCTTGCTGCGGACGTGGTTGATGACCCCTCTTCACATCCCTGAGACACCAGCGGAGTACCGCTACAACATGGCCCATTCTGCCACTCACAACATCATCGAGCGTACGTTCAGAACCATTCGGTCGCGCTTCCGCTGCCTTGATGGGTCCAAAGGCACCCTGCAGTATWCTCCAGAGAAGTCCAGCCACATCATTCTGGCCTGTTGCGTGCTTCATAACATCTCCCTGGAACATGGATTGGATGTGTGGTCTTCACCAGCCACAGGACACATGGAACAACCAGAAGAAGAGTACGAGCAAATGGAATCAGTGGACTCGGAAGCCTGTCGTGTTCGTCAGGAGCTTTTACTTACCCATTTTAGCTAATGTTGTGACAGAGCGAAAGCTTTTGACAGTTTGTCTGGGAAGTTATCTGAAGCAAATAGGCACCTTCTTCTTCTTTAAGCCTGTAAAGACTTAAGCAGAGACAAGAAATAATTTTACTTTTTTCATTTCAGGCAAATTTCTGAACTTCTCTTAATCTCWCCAGAGAGGCAATTTAATGGTTAAATTTTTGCTGTCATGGTGCTTAGAGACTCACCTATCGCTTGACTTAGAGAACAATGATTAATGTGACATTAGTGAGGAAATAGGGGAAATTGCCTTTTATACTGATGGTAAATTTGTAAATCTTGCACTGTTTTAGAAAGCAACAATTCTATGCCACTCTGTAACTCAAAACACAATTGATTTTTAAACAGTATTTTGCACAAATTAAACCTTCACACGAGCTCCTGTCTACTATGAATTCATGAGCAGCAAAGCAAACATTTTTCTTTTTGTTTGCAGATATGAATAATTCTTGCTCAACACCATTTTGCCACTTTCTGTGTCTCACAAACCCCAGCGATCTCTGGTAGCTGTGTTCTGGGAGAGGTCTGACTTTTTGCTGGGCACACACTAGTGTTTGCACATACCTAGAAAGGTTGAATGTTCTTTCTTTCCCAAACAGGCTGGAGAATAYGTTATGCTGTGGTTAACTCTGTTGGGTGCTTAACAGGTATCAGGAAATAGGCTAGTGAAGGTGACTGTGGTTTTGTCTGATGCAGCAGGAAACTGGTTATTTTGTTGGCTGCTATCTGAAGATTGCAGTCTGAAGATTGCTATTGCAKTCCAGAGAGAAACCTCTCACTGCATCTAACAAGAAGTAAGCTAGCTAGCAAGAATGTGTATCAGGGTAACTCCTGCAAGCTGCAAACCCAGCTACCAGGAGAGAGTCCGTGAATGAAAAAAATTGTGCCAGAGCATCTYCAGCTCCTGCCTCTCCCTCTGGACCCAGGTTACGGCTACAGGACCCATTTCTGGGCATAAAGTAGATGATAGGGAAACACAGTAATTATCATATAATCACCGCAGGACAGTCAYAAAAATTGACATGACTGCAAAAATTCTCCATTTAGATTAAAGATGAGGTGTGGAAAGGCTGCTCTAGCACTGCTGGCAATCTCCCTCTTCAGTGGAACGAGATGACTGATGCACACAGTTGTTGCTGGCACAAGGCCGGACAGTTTCCTGGAAATGTTCTCTTTCTACAAGGCACAAGWGTTTACAAGGATCTCATGACAGCAGTCTAGGAAAATTTTGTTTCTTAAGTTTTTTTTTTTGGTTTCTGGGCAGTAAATGGAACAAAAGTGGTAGGGAACACAGTTAAAACTGTAACTACTTAAAGTAGCGGTGCAACCACCTGACATTGTGGGTCTGTCCTTTTAGAGGAAGTAAGCCTAGCTCATGCCCCACATTTGAAGAACACAAATGTCTGTATTCTTTCTTCAAACAAAAGACACATTTCGAAGTGTGGGGTGGAGATGCAGGGTTAGATGCAGTCGGCCGGGTTTGCAGTGTCAGTAAGCAGTTATTATCTTAAAGAAAACCAAGTGTGCTTGATGATGTGTAAGCAAGACGTGTTCAGAAGCCTTGATGAGAGCTGTAAAATGTTATGTACAATGATCTGAGATGTAATTCAGTTTTCTTTACCCATGAGGTATCATGTAAGAGCTGCTACTGATCACTGCAGCAAAACCCCTGCTCCTTTTACCCAGGAAGAAGCAGATAAGCATTGTTTTCTAAAAAAAACATTTTTAGAAAAAAAAAGAGTTGCTGCCATGTATGGTGCCTGGTGGCTCATAATCGCATCTGACGGTCTGTGCTAAAAATACTGTTCATTAGACCAAAACACCAGCAGACACTGAATGAGCTGCGTGGGTGGTGGTAAGGTCAAGTGAGACTTGGACATGTAGGTACAAACATTGTCACTTAATGACAAGTTGGAGTTTCTCAATTTACACTATGAATAGCTCTTCCCAGTGTGTGCTGAGGCCAGAACGAACTTGGAGTGAAGGCTCTTCCTGGAACATGTTTGCTGTTCTGTTTTGTATTCTTTCAGCCACTGCCACGTGTGGTAGAGTTTAATTTCAAAACTGATCTCACTGCTTGTCAGTTTGGGCAAAAACTGCATCAGGCCGCACCAGAWAAAACCAATCCACTGAACACGATTCTTGCCTGAAATAGATGTCAGTACCCTTCTGTATGCTCAGGAAATGTAGGGAGCAGTTTGCCCCACATACTCCTAAGCAGCTTCCTTTAAAACAATTCACCTAAACTTTTTCTTCTTTTCCCTCATGGGGCCAGATTGCTCAAAGCCCTATCCAACCTGGCCTTGAACACTTCAGGGGTGGAGCATTAATGGCGTCTCTGGGCAAGCTGTTCCTCTGCCTCACCACCCTCACAGTAAAGAATTTTTTCTTATATCTAGTCTAAACCTACTCTTTCAACTTAAAGCCATTCCCCTTTGTCCTGGCTCTACATGGTCTTGTAAATAGTCTTGCCCCATCTTTCTATTTCTCTTCAGGTACTGGAAGGAGCAATTAGGTCATCCGGAAGCCTTCTCTTTTCCAGGCTAAAAAAAAAAAGTTGAAAAAAATTTATTTTCTGCAAATTGCTTTGAGATTTGTGATTCGGTTTGTGGGAAAATCATGCTGTGAAAAGCCAGTGTCCACAAAGGAGACAGAGGAGTCCTGCATGCAACTTTATTCGAATAAAGGGAGAGAGTCCACTGAGCTATCCCCCCATGGGGTTTCTCTCATGTTTTTGGAGGATGCAGCCTCCTTTCATCCTAAAGTCCAGACTGTAAGTTGCCCTCTTTCTTTCCCCATTGGCTGAGGYATTAGGAAGGTGCAGCCTTCCCAATCCACCTGCTACGTATTTCCCTGAAGTTCAGGCTTTCAAACTGTCTGGGTTCTGCAACACCCTGGAGATCTCCACAGCCATTGTTCCAGCACCAGGCCGGTTCTTTCATACCTGCTCATTTGTGAAGACATTAAAACCCACTTCTCCTATAAAGTCTGGATCACCCTTATCTTGGAAGTTTAGAACAGTAGCTTCCAATCCGTTTTATACAGCCTGATTATTGAAAGTATTAGTTTACTTTCATTCTGTTAAGAGCATTTTTACAGTATCCAACACTTCTCTAAGCTAAATTAAGTCGTCTTTTTAATTCTGGGCAGGGGCGTTGCTCCCCMGTCCTCGGGGCTCGACTGCTCTCGCCTGCCCTCCGTCGCCCCTGGGTGGCAGTCGAAGTGCTCGTCGCTCGGCTGGCGCTGTCTGGCGGCGTTCTAGCCTCGGCTGCTCGGGCCTTGGTCCCGCGCTCGGCGCCGCCGCCGTTGGGCTCCGCTCGGCGCTCGGCTGGCGCTGCCTGCTGCTCGGGCCTTGGTCCCGCGCTCGGCGCCGCCGCCGTTGGGCTCCGCTCGGCGCTCGGCTGGCCCGCCTGGCCGGAGCTCGGCGCGGCGGCGGCGACGACCGACCC